GAAACTGAGGCCCAAAGGTAATGTGTCTCTTTCAGGCCACACAGGTAAGTAGATGCCAGGGCAAGAACCTGTACCCAGTTAACCCAAGTCCAGGGACCCTTTTATGATACCCATCAATTTGTTACATTAGGCCCCTTGTGTTGCTGTGGATTCATTCTGAGAGGAGGAGCGTGGTGGGGGTAAGAGGCATGGAGTCACCACACAGACCCCGGGAGTAGGGTGAAAGCAGGCCAGAGGCAAGCAGCCCACAGACTCATTTATTTCAGTTGGTACAGCAGCTTATATAGCCGAGGAAGCCAATCCAGTCAAGGGGTGGTTTATGCCCTAACCAATCACTGCCTGTTGCCAGGCAGGCTCCTTTCCCATGTGGTTTCTGAAGCTATTCCTGAGTAACTGATGCTCACTTGCCAGTAGCCATTTTGGCATGGCCTTCTCATTCCACCACACCCTTGCCCTTTGCTGACCTAATCTTAATAGCAGAAATCTTGATTAGGACTTAAAGAAGGCACAAAGCTAAGAAAATGTCTGGCATTTAGAGCTTTGCGCCAACTTTGTGAGAACTACAGTAGTGTTTTAGCAGTGCTTTCCCTTGATATGAAGTGGTGGGTATTCACTAACAATACCTCACACCATCTGTACACCCCCAAACCATGAAGTGCCAAGGAGGAGAAAGGAGGCAAGGAAAGGAAAGGAATCCTGCAGGGAGAGGGAAATCCATGGTGGCAGAGAAACGAACAGAGGTTCTTTTCAAGACCCTTGTTATTTTTCTAGGAGCTCCACATGTCACATATTGAGATACGTCAGTCAGGGCCCACTGAGGCCATCATTCCCCCTGGTATTGAGCTCCTTTTATACTCAGGGCTTCCAGAGGGTGAGGAGTTATGGGTTTCCTGATTAACTAGATTCCAGAAAATGAAGCCAGTGGGGCTCTCCCAACTCCACTGTGTCTTCCCCATCAGTGCTACTGAATTACTGTTCACATCGGAGCCCTGGGAGAGCTCAGAGGAAAAGCAGTTCTTGATTCACAACCAGGAACTTTGATGTGTCCTCCCCACATCTTCTAGATTTTACCAACTCTACAGAGTACTTTTCCTCATAAATGCTGAAATTCCATAACTCTTCTCAAGAACTATGTTTTCTTAAATTTTGGGGGAGTGGATTTGGAAGGAAATGCTTTTATGAAAAGAAATACCCAAATTTTAAACTATATCATCAGAAGGGATTAAGGTTGCATAATTCTCCAGTCCTCTCCTTTTCTGACACATACTTTCTATTTTTCCAGATAACACAGTTGGAGGACATTTACCAATAGCACTTTCCCTGGATGTGCTTTGATCCCTCTGCTAAGCTATGGATTTTTCTGTAGCCTTCCAAATGATGATCTCTGTCTGCTCCACCCATTCATTAGAGAAAGGAGAATTCAGAGGCCTTGCTAATTACTCTCTCAGTGCCAGTGAAACCAGAGGAATGCTTGAAACAGTCATCTCCGGTTATGGAACAGGGTTATCTTTCTTTGGTTATAGGAACTAGAACCTTATTAATATTATTCTTTGGGAATTTTCTATTATTCCTATCTAATTAATTTCCTTGGGAGATGAAATTCCTTCATTATTATTTTTCCTGGAATTGAGACTACTTGGGCCTCTTACCTAGAAATTGTCCCTACCTGATTTCAGAAGCAATGGTAAAGAAACCCATTTTTATTGACAAAATTTATTGTCACATGGGTGACAGGAACCTAATGACTTGAGCCATCACCACTGCCTTCCAGGGTCTGCATTAGTGGGAAACTTTAGTCTGGAGCCAGAGCCAAGAATTGAACCAAGGTGCCCTGATGTGGGATGAGGGCATCAACTGCTAAGCAAAGCACCATTCCCCTTATTAGCATGTTTGAGCATGGCTTCAATGTGGCAAATAGGTGATATACATGGGTCTGTTTCTCCTGTGGCACACCTCACACAGATTAGCAAGAATGTGGAAGAAGACATTTCTCTAACATGGGAGAGAGGTGAAATGGGAACGTCGTTTACACAGTTGTCATTGTATTCTAAAGTCATTTGAACTTTCTAGGCCACAACTTCCTATAAAACAAAAATAAGTGGTCTTTATGGAGAAAGGACAGAGCAAGTGATTTCTTAAATTCACTGATCTACAAATTATACTATTAATATCATTTATAGCAAAGTTCAGATGATATGAAAATAAACTTATGGATGCGATAAGCACAGAAAAAGCTGACTGAAATATTCACATGTGGCATAAATGCATTTATTAATATCTGCTCATTAAAATGAATAACCAACACCAAGATGTTTTAATAATTAGTTAATAATTACAGTGGTTAAAATGAGCATTCCCATTATTGATAGCAGATAGTGCCTGGGAATCTGACTTCCTGTCTAAGGGCAAGCTTATAGATATTACTTAGTAATATTATTTGGTAAATATTTGTTGAAAAATGAAAATAGAAGAGAGGAAAGTGAAGGAAGAAAGGAGAAAAAATTACTTTGATATGTCATATGTTATGAAACTACTAAAGGAAACACTCCAAGACACTGGCATAGGCAATGATTTTTTTTTAAAAGAATCCAAAAGCATAGGTAATAAAAACAAAAATAGACAAATGGGATTTTATCAAAATAAGAAGCTTCTGCACAGCAAAGGGAACAATTGACAGAGGGAAGAGAAAATCAACGAAATGGGAAAGATTATTTGCAAACTGTCTAAAAAGAGGATTAATATCCACAATATATAAGGAACTTAAAAATTTCAACAACAAAATGATCCAGTGAAGAAATGGGCAAAGGATCTGAATAGACATTTTTCCATAGAAGAAATACAAATGGTCAAAAAAAAAAAAAAAACCATGAAAAAATGTGCTGAGTTTTGTTAACCATCAGGGAAATCAAATAAAAGGCACATGAGATATTATCTCATCTGGTCAGTAAAAAATGTTTACACCACATTATTTAGTATGTGGATATTTATATACTCTATCTTCACTGAATTATACCCCTTAAATAATATTAAACCCTTCTTTCCTGATTTTGTGAAATTAATATGTTCACCCCTGCTTTCTTTGTGGTTGCATTCCCTGGTATATATTTAATTCTCAAATTTTCTAATGCTTTTTGATTGGCTGTATCTATTACATGTAGCATATAGTTTGGTTTGTTGTGTGCCCATTCTGAAAACCAGTTTATCTTGATAAAGATTGACTTTTATTAAAACTATTCTCACATAATGTTCAATACACAAAATCTAAATGGCGGAAGACATATTTTGTTTTACTCAGAAAAATACTGATTTATGGGTAGACATTTGGCACAGCAGTTATGATACCACTTGGGGAATATGCATCCCTAATCAGAGTGCCTGGGTTCAAGTCCTGGCTTCACTTCTGATTCCAGCTTTCTGCTAATACACACCCTGAGAGGCAGCAGGTAATGGTTCAAGTATTTACATCCCTGGCGCTCACGTGGGAGACTTGGATTGGGTTCCCCCGTTCCTGGCTTTGGCTTAGCCCACACCCAGCTCCAGCTATTGCTGGCTTCTGGGGAGTACACCAGTGCATGGAGGATCACTGTCTCTGTCTCTGTCTCTCTACCTTAAAAATGAAAATAAATAGATAAAGTTGTTTAAAATTACATATTTATATGTTATGGAGAAATAGTCATTCTATAAAATCTCAAAAAGACCTAGTGAAATAATCTAAAATAGACAAAACATACAATAACCAATGCTTTAAAGAGAGTGGTAAAATATTCCTACTCTAGTTTTTTTTTTTGTCTTTTGCTTTTTGTGGTTTGTTATGTCTTATCCACGATTTAAAAAAAATGCTCCATAAAAAAAGGATTCGATCTGGGGGCGGGGGAGGGCACATTGTGGTGTTAAGTCTCTACTTCAGATGTCCATGTTGCATATTAGAGCGCCAGTTCAAATCCCAGCTACTACACACCTCCTGTCCAACTTCTTGCTAAGGTCCTTGGGGGCAGCAGATAATGGCTCAAATGTTTGGGTCCCTGTCACCCTTGTGGTCTAACTGGATTCAGTTCTGGCTTCTTGGCTTCAGCCTGGCCTGGCCCTGGCTGTTGTGGGCATTTGGGGAATGAATCATGGAATAGAAATTCATTGTCTCCCTCTCTCTCCTCTCTCCTCTTTCCTCTCTTCTCTCTTTTTCTCTCTCCTCTCCCCCAACTCCCTCCCTTCCTTCTCTACCTTTCTGTCACTGTGCTTTTTAAATAAATAAATCTTTTTTAAACAAAAGTATTAAAGTCTTCCAGCTACACCTTTATCCCCCATAACTTGGTAAGATTTGCCTGTGAAAACACAAGGAATGTAATCATTTTCCTTGTAATTTTCTAAATATAAAATAAAAAACACCAGTATGGTAATAAGCCCACTAGCAAGTAAGTACAGTGGTCAAGTGTGAGGGGTCCAGATTTTCCACACTGGGACTTCCATGCAAACTGCTAGAACCTTGGAAGTATCACCTCTGACTGCAGTGCCGGATTCTGGTGAGCATTTCTTGGCCCCCTGATCTAGCTATGAGAAGACACTAAGATAACAAACAGGGCAGTAGTTACGGTAACAAAGCCGGAGTTGGTCTCTGCCTTTAGTGGCCAACGCCACTGGACCCAAGCTTTATGAAGGAAACTTGCACAAAGCAGAACTATCATAATTACTTTTAGACTGAAATTTCAAAAAGTGTTGGGAAGCTATCTGTTCTCTTTTTGTCCACGTATTTCCTGAACACATTCGTGCTGTTATCTTTTCTCTAACAGTCATAGTTGACACAGAACAATTAATATGCAAAATAAGGAAGAGATGTATAAATACTATATTTACAGATTTTTGTATACTAATGTCCATAATGTAAGAAAAGGAAAATAATATCCATGCTCAGTACTGTTATTTAGCACCAAATCCCCTCTATTTAGAGAAACAAACAATTCTTTTAAATGTCTTTATGATTTAAGGCTCCAATAACAACTCGCGCATAGGTGAAAGTTTGCTATTTATTTAATCTTGGAAGAACACTGAAAGGAACAGGCAGAGAATGTAGGCAGTGTGGAAGAACTCCTTGGTGTAGCTGGCCACATGTGGTGTGTGCAGCTGCAGGGGAAACTGGCCAGAGCTAAGGTTACATATTTCTGTTCAATACGGGTATCCATGGTGGTAACTCTCATGGTGGCGGTAGTCATCCTGGTAGCCATCTTGGTATCCTTGGTGGTAGCTATGGTAACCATAGCCTGCATACTCATCTTCCGGGCAGCGCATCCCCAGTGACTGCTGAATGGCCATTTCTTGTCTCCGAAGTTGCATCGAATCAATTAAATCGTACACAATCACCATGGACCACATTGGGGAAGGATACCAGGATTTGACATTTCCGTCTTTTCCAACCAGAAGCATGGAGAAATACTCAGGGCTCACTTGAAAATAGTTACGTATGTCTTTCACCAAATGGGCTGGCACATCTTCCCTCTCAACAACCGAGCTCCCTAGAATAGCATTGCGAGAGTCGTTAGTGGATTAGAGCACATTTCATGAAAACCACAAACTAAGAGGAAAATCACTATGAGAATAACGAGCAGACCCATGAGCCTGTTCTCTTTAACTCCAAATCTAATTAAAATAATTTGCAAAATTTTTCCCTACTAAAATTTAAAGTTCCTTCTATTCTGCAATGTGACTAGTTTCAGACTTTGATATTTTGGATTTTTCTTCCATAGAAATGTGACAGGGTATAAACCAATTCCTTATATTAATCCTGGCAAAATCAACTTCTTTAAAGTTTGTTTCTACCAAACTTTATATCGAATATACTTCTAAGTTTATTTCCAATTATCTTACATATATATTTAAAATAACAGTTTTATTTTTGACATTTGTCCTTAAAACAAATAGCTCATTTCATTGTTAAAGGTTAAAAAATACCAATTATGCCAGATTTGGATGTATGTATCTAAACTATTATGATTACAGAGAAAAAGAAAAGGGGGAGAATAAAAGGAGCTGGCACTTCGTGGGAGTCAGTTCTGTCCAGCATTTTGTCACACATTTTATACACATTATCTTATTTAAAGTGCTTGTTCTCAAAAAAGAAAGACTGAATTTGCTTTTTGAAACCTTAGTCAATAGTCATTTTCTTTCAACCCCTGCAAGCCTTTTAGTATTTGACCTTATCTGTTGAAATGGAATCAATGATATATGTCCTATGTGGTTCATAAAACCATTATGAAAATTAAATGAGACACCATAGAAGGAAATGCTTTGTAAACCATGAAGCCCTATGAAGACGAATGTTATTTTAGCTAACAAACTGATGGTTTTATTGATACTTTGAATGATTTTAAGTTAAAATCAGAATTAGTCTCTGAACTCTGGCCTCCTCCTCCACACATCCTGAGGACACCCACATGCCTGAGGCAGGGGGAGGACTCAGTGAACTTTGTTCATCTTGGAGGCACTTCTAGGCTTGCATACCGCTTAGTATCATTGAACTGAACTGAACACTAACTAGTACTATCTGACAATGACAATATGAGACAGGTGGGTTAAGCCGCCTCCTGGGACACCTGCATCCCAGATCAGAATGCTGGCTCAAGTCCTGGCTTCTCCGCTAATGATCCTGTTCCCTGCTAATGAGCCCTGAGAGGCAGCAGATCACAGCTCGAGTGCTTGAGTCCTTGCTACCCAGGTAGGAGACCAGATGGAGGGCCAGGCTCCTGGCTTGGGCCTGGCCCAGCCCTATCTGTTTCAAGCATTTGGGGAGTGAACCGGTGAATGGAAGACATTCATTCTCTCTCTCTCTCTTCCACTCGCTCTCTCTCTCTCTCTCCCCCTTTCAAATAGGTAAAAATAAATAAACATTAAAAACAATAACATAAAATAATAACACATTACCATTTATTGGAAACAGTTCTAAAACTCCCCCAACTTCCTCTCCAACACCCAAAAGCTTCAGAATGGTTATGTGGCGGAGACCTGAGAAAAAAGCCACAGAATTAGGAGAAAGAATTCTAAGACAGCTGTTACTTCCAAGGACCCGATGTCTGATAATTAAAATCTTTCAAAGAATATAGGACAACAAATTAAGTATAATAGCTCACTTTCAACCAACAAAGTTATGAAAACTAACTTCAGAAAAGTTTCTTTTTTGATCCAGGAGATAGATAATATAGATTCTTAAAACTACAGCAGCAGATGTTCTGAAACACATCTATGAAGAATTTGAGAAGAGAGACTATTGAGAGAGAAAAAAAGATCCACAGATGACTAAAGCTGTACTCTAAAAGCAACTTTTACTCAGTGGAATAGAGTATGTGTCTGGGAGTCTGCAGTCGGGACTGGGGAACATTCACATGATCTAAGCGTCTATGTTCCATTTTAGAATTGACCAGGAAGAGAGTGGAATGGGAAAGCAGTAATGAGGTGGCTGCCGCCTACTCACCAAAATTGCATGCCTGACCACTGAGGGCAGAGAGCTGCTGTGAATAGGCCCAGTCTTCATCATTAGGAGCAGAGATCACTAGCAACCGTCTCCTCCATCGGAACCTGGAAAAGAGGCAAGAGGCCATTATTACTGCTTCACAATGGAGGCCAGTGAAAGAAAGCCAAATAACTCTGGTTTTTTTTCCCCCATGCCCCAAATTAAAAAAAAAAAAAACAAAAAACTCCAAAACAGAAAAAACATTGAGCTGGAGAACTGTCTCACAGCTTGTCAAAGCCATTAAACTGGATTACCACACTCTCGTAACTTTTTCTGTTGTAATTTCACAGTCTGCCTACTTTGGTGTTTTTGTGATGTGTCAGACATGAGGCTGTGGTCACCATGCCTGATGATGTCACCTGGGGAAAGAGGAAGTCCCAGAGGCAGTGAAGACGGGGCCAAAATTATACATTCAACTGGAACAACAGAAATAAGGCACTTAGCAGAAGACGGAAGAGAGCTCAAGTCTTAGGAGAGTCCCCTCGAGGGTTCGGATGGGGTTAAGAAATGAGTATATGAATGAGAAAGAGAGTAGAAAAAGACACTGAGTTTGAAGTGGATGGCAGTGACGAGAAGAGGGTTGATGGAAAAGTGGCTCAAAGTGTGAATGGGGGTCCCTGGAAGAGCAGAAACCCTGTGTACCTTCCTCACACCCAGTAGTTGTCTTGAAAGCAAATGTTCTAGAATTTAATCCTAGAATCACTGCCAGGAGCCCACACACGGTCCCCCTATGAAGTGGGATGCCGCCAAGCCTAGCACTGTGGGATTTCAGAGAGCATACGCTGCAGTAAACTTGGTGCCTGCTCTCAACCCTGACATAACAGGGCAGTCGAAAGGGCTTTTGTGGCCGGCGCCGTGGCTCACTAGGCTAATCCTCCACCTGTGGCGCCGGCACACCGGGTTGTAGTCCCAGTCGGGGCGCCGGATTCTGTCCCAGTTGCCCCTCATCCAGTCCAGCTCTCTGCTGTGGCCTGGGAGTACAGTGGAGGCTGGCCCAAGTCCTTAGGCCCTGCACTGCATGGGAGACCAGGAGAAGCACCTGGCTCCTGCCTTTGGATCAGCGTGGTGCGCTGGCCACAGCGCGCCGGCCGCAGTGGCCATTGCAGGGTGAACCAACAGCAAAGGAAGACATTTCTCTCTGTCTCTCTCTCTCACTGTCCACTCTGCCTGTCAATAAAAAATGAAAAAAAAAAAGAGAAAAAAGAGAAAAAAGAAAGGGCTTTCGTGTAATAGCAGAGACATTTGAATTCCTTTTGGGTGGTGCTACTTTTTGGGTGTCCTCGAGTGTGTCACTCAGTTCACCTAAGTCTCAGGCTGTCCTATCTCTAGAATATAAAATAGCAGTGCCTACTTCAAAGGGGTAATAAAGAATTAGACCCTGAGGCCTATCGGTGTGAGTTATCCACATGATGACATGGCTACAGAAGACTGTGTCTGAGTCTGCAGGCTTCTGCATCCTGGAACTTTACCTACGGACCGACCCTGGACGGTACCCATCGCAATGCCATAGGACAACCTATTCAATCCTTACGTTTGTGTGTCATTGTATAGCTCACTTCCACTACACAATCTGTGTTGCTCACTAGGGCTCAGGGAAGGCATGCTTACTTCCCCCATTTTAGAGAGGGCAAAATGAGGCTTAGAAAACTCAGTAACTGGGCCAACTAATAAATCTAAGGTGGTAGCAAAAGACAGACAGAGCTCTTTGGCTCCCGGCCCAGTGGTTTCCCTAGTCTACCACTCTCAGGGATGCAGATGTTGGGCGGAGCTGTCAGAGACCGCAGGAGGGTACAAAGTAGAGAATCCAGGCATCCAAGGGGCAGTGTATGGAGCTGTCTCGGATCCCACCTTCAGTGGGTAAGGAGTTCTTGTTTTTCCTGCCTTGGGTCAAGCAGCTGCAGGGTGTCGGGACACTCTCTGGCAGCCAGCTGACTTTATTTATGGTTTCTCTGCCTGTGCCCCTTCCAGCCGCCGAGTGAACATGAGAATTTTGAGCCCTGAAGAAAATGGCCTCTTGGGGGAACAGTGGTTTGGGTGAATGAGAGAAAATGATAGTCTGATGAAATACAACCTCTGAATGGATGTCTGTCGCAAGGCTTGCCAAGAATGGCTTGCTGTGACATTACATTCGTTTCCTCTGCTTATTTTTCTTCAAAGGGAAAGAAAAACGAAAATCTCCTCTGAGGATAGGGAGATGAATGTGTTTGGCATGGAGGAGGGGGAGGAGCGTCGGAGACCATCCCAGGTTTCATGGGAAAGGGAACAGTGACTGCTCTCGGGTCACAAACATGGTCTCCTGTGCTTCCTCTGCTTCCTTAGGAAGTGTGCCAAACCAGCGCCGTCCCCCACCCCGCCAGGATCCCAGCCAGGCCAGCCTTCCTGGCCTCACACAGAGCTGGGGGGTGTCCTGGAGGCAGCTATTTCGGGAGAAGCCTATTTTGACTTGTTTACCTGTGCACACCACTGAATGCCCTCCTGATTGGAGAGAGATGGGGCCTGAAACTCCCTGTTCCAGACACAACCAAGAGGTCATTTCTTCTGAGTCCTGACTCAGGTCCCCGCAGACCTTCCCATTAGGATACAAGGCCCCTGCTCACCACGGCTGCCAAAGAATGTGTGAAAGAATCTGAACCTGACTTAGGTCTTTATTGCAGACCAATTGTTGCTCAATCACCTCAGCTTCTCAGGAAATAAAATCCTACAAGCCACGCATGTGTTTGCATCTCTTAACTGGCATTCCGCAATGTGTGTGCCTACTCTTTGGAGCTTCTGTGTCAGGGGAAGGTAATTATAGCCTGAACCAAATGAGCATCACTGAAGACCAGACTGCCTCAGGATATGGTCAGCGGCAACCAGACTGTACAGACCCACCAACAACTCAGCAAATTTGAAGGAAAATTCCCATTTGGATACTTGTTTATTTGTAGGACTGTTATTTGATTTTTTAACATTTTTCTTTGCCCAAGTTTCAATTCAGAACTGTTGTTTGAGTCCTTCTCACTTCTCCCTTAATAACACAGTTCTCAAATAGGACCTGTATAGCCAATGCTAGTATTACTACTAATAGCTAGCACTTACTGATTACTTATTTTGTGCTAGGTCTTGAGACATTATTATGTTTATGAAATTGTCCTTCAGAATAATCTTAAGAATAGACACAGTTATTATCACCATCTTGCAAATGAGAAACTAAAGCCCAAAGTGGTTAATTGGTGCAAGGTCACATAGTTAGTAAGTGGTGAAACCACAGATCAAACCCAGGGCTACCTTGCTCTTGACTTTAATACACTATTTCGGGGCTGGCACTGTGGCATAGTGGGTAAAGCACAGCTCTTGCCATTGGTGCCATTTGGGGAATCAATCAGCAGATGAAGGACTCCTCTTTCTCTCTCTCTCTCTCTCTCTCTCCCTCACTCCCTCCATCCCTCCATCCCTCCATCCCTCTGTGCCTCTGCATCTCTGTAACTCTGCCTTTCAAATAAATAAATCTTTTTTTTTAAAAAGCACTATTTCACTGTAATTTTTAAGATCAATGATAATTATCAGCAGAATGATATGAGTTGTGACCATAAGTCAGGTACATCCACAATGTATTCAATCTTATACCACTCTGAATATCCTCATAAAACAGGTAATATTCCTGAAATACACTTATTATAAGTCCATAGGGTTCTACATTTGATGAACAATATGTTTATATATCTTAACATCCTATATAATTCAAAATATTTTAGATACAAAATAATTGCATATCTTAAAAAATCAAAGAAATTCCAAATTTAAACCAGGATAAGAATTCCAAGGTTTTGGGAGTGAACAAAATTGAAATAATGCCAGATCCACTTCAACTTTTGAAACCCATAATATAGGGATTATAAAGACACTCTGCCTGGGAGGATGACAGTAATCCCTCAGAATGCCTGTAGCTGCAGGCCACATGTTGGGCCCAAATCTCTAGGTTTTATAGCATCAAAGGGGAGCCGGTGCTGTGGCTCACTTAAGTTAATCCTCCACCTGCGGCGCTGGCATCCCATGTGGGCACCGGGTTCTAGTCCCAGTTGCTCCTCTTCCAGTCCAGCTCTCTGCTGTGGCCCTGGGAAGGCAGTGGAGGATGGCCCAAGTGCTTGTGCCCTGCACTCGCTTGGGAGACCAGGAGGAAGCACCTGGCTTCTGACTTCAGATTGGCGCAGCGCGCCGGCCGTAGCAGCCATTTGGGGGGGGGGGGTCAACCAACGGAAGGAAGACCTTTCTCTGTCTCTCTGTCTCTCTGTCTATCACTATCTAACTCTATCTGTAAAAAAAAAAAAAAAAAAAAAGCATCAAGGAGTTGGCTGGTAATTGCTTTAGAGGGTGGGAAACTTAATAGGGTGGGAAGTTTAATATGATTGTTCAGTGGGTCCACAATGTTTAGTCCTGGGAGATTCAAAAGTAAGGGGGAAAAGTTGCCAAAGAATCAAAATCATAGTAATAATATATATATTTAAGAAGGATTCTGGTTTTCTTTGTATATATATAATTTCTGTTCTTGTGAGAGTAAAGAGAATTTGGTGTAACGAAATGACAACCTTGAAACTCCAAATTAGAATGCATCATTGACTAATTGGTCTAGAATTGGTCTAGTCTAGAATTGACTAATTGGTGGTTTAAGTAGAAATCTTACCAAGTGCTTGTAGTGTTTCCTACATCTGAGAGAATTTAAGATTGATTAACTTATTAAGAAAGGTTTTGGTTGCTTATTTCAAAGAACTGAACAACATAAACATATAATGGCTTTGAAAGTGATGAAGTTAATTAATTACTGGTGTTGCAAAGAAGATTAAACATTACTGAAGGTCGCCTTAAAAGTGATGACCAAAACTTGCTAGATTAAAAATAGAAAAATAAAATTTATAAGCTCCAAGTCAAAATTTGTACAGAGCACTAAGGTCTTGATTTTATAATTCAAGTACTTTTGACACTAATTGTTCAAATCAAAAATAAATTTCTAAAGTCTTTCCACCTTAAAAAAGGGGGGGGGGTCTTATCATCAATCTTCTATTCACTGCAATCTAGAGGGATGATCTTGGGTCCGAAGTTGGTGTTTAGTGTCCCCAGATGGGGACAAACAGCCATTTGCCCAGGGAATCGAGAGCCTCTTGCAGTCCAAGAATGGCTTAAAGGCTGGACTGAACGTCAAGACCTTACAAAGTCTTCCAAACTCTATTTCTATTTCAAATATTTGTACCACCCTGAAAATCTGAATGAAGGAAGAGCCTCAGGTTCCTTCCAGTTCTGAAATCCTGTGGTTGGAGGAGTGTTTTCCTTCACTCCAAATCTGAACTTCTGGGTTCAGAACTAAAAATAATTCACCTGATATTTTCAAAAGGAGCCAAGGATAAGAAGGTAGACTTTAAGAGACGATTGTTCTGAGGCCACCGACCCCTAGAAGGAACTCCAGCCAGTGATGAGAGAAAGCTACCTTACTCTCTATTAGCCTCCCGTGCCTCTCCTGCAATATGACAACAGTCACCATCTTTAGATGGTGGGATTTTATGAGGATTAAACCAGGGAATGAGATACCTGGCAGAGAGATGAGTACAGAAAAGTGATCATAGGGGTTTGTATTTGGACTAGAGGTTAAGATACCCTTATCCCATATCAGAGTACTCATTGCCTGTCCTTGATTCTAGTTTCCTAGTGCAGACCCTGGGAGGCGGCGATGATGGCTCAAGTAATTGGGTCCCTGCAACCCATGTGGGAGATCTGAATTGTGTTCCTGTCACCAGGCTTCAGTCCTGCCCCAGCCCTGGCTATTGTGAGCATTTGATCAGTAAACTAGTAGATAGGAGCTCTCTCTATCTGTCACTTTCCTTGTTTGCCTCTGTAAATCTCTCAAATGAATAAAAAAATAAATAACAATTTTTTTATAAAGTCACCACAACAACCCGGGGATAAAGGCAGGAATACTTGCTATAGTTATTTTCATTTTATATGTGAGAGATTGAGAAGTGTGGTGTCAAGATAGGTACAACTAGCAGATCAAAATCTTGGCTGAATGAAAAGTCCTATATTCTTTCTATAGTGTGACGTTATGTCCAAAAGCACTCAAATCTGAACTGTAGGAATTCAGATTATCTATTTCTTCATCTTAGAATCCTTACACCCTGACTCACATTTGGAGAACATGCTTTTATAGATATTAGTAAAGATTCTGCCTAAATGATACAGATTTAATGTTGAGCCTCCATTTCTGGGGCCAATTAGCCATGCAGCACAGTTGGGATGGTGCTTATCCACTGAAGTCCCTCTGAGTTTATTCCGATGGGAAGATTTCTGCAGCTCTGCACCTCCCAGGTCCCTGTGGAATTTTCATCAGACACCCGGAGAGGGACGCAGAAGGGAGGAAGGTGGATAGTGCTATACTCCTTTTTCTGAGCATGTGCCTACTGCACTGACAGAGGAGTGGCTGCAAATGGCTTTCAGTAAACAACAGTCCCTGGATAATCAAGAGGATTTCTCCTTTTGAGGTCTCAGTGGGGCTTTTGTTGTTTTTCTGCAGAGTTGGAAAGAAGCAAAAAAATCAAGCACAGTGCCAAATCCTGACTGGAACTAAAAGAAGCCTAATAAATAAATATGTAAAATAAAAGTGCTATGTAAGAACTTTCCAAATTCACCAACTGAATAAATTTACTCTCATGAGAGGTCAGATTTCCATATTCTAAACTCCCCTCCACCCACAAAAAAATAAAAAAAAAAAGCAGAAAAGAGAACAAACACCTATCCAAAGCCAGCAAATCAATACTTGCACTTCAAGGTGAAGCCAACAATTCCTGTAACCAAGGCCACTCCCAACAGGACAGAACTAAGTAAGGTGGCCAGGGAGGGTCACTCTCTGTAGACACATGCATGGCTCTGTGATTCTTTGGCATTTCCATTAGCTCACTCAGGCAAATCCATGCCTGTGTCTTCAGGAACTTCAAAAGTAATGTACCTGGATAGGAAGTTCTCCAGGGACTGCTTCTTGTCATCCTTGCAAACAATGCCTTCCTTCTTCTGCTTTTCCATATCTTTGATTCGGGATTGGAAAGTATCAATCAGATCAAACACAGACTTCATTGCTATTGGCACCTCATAGTATTGCTGTTTAAGAAAGAATAGAATGCTTATGTAGACCCAAGCAAAGATTCTACCTAAGTGAGACACTTACAATGTTAAGCCTACAAGCAAATGGTTGCTCCATTTCTGGGGCCCCTTAGCTATATAGTGCAGCTGGGGTGGATTTCTACAGCTTTGCAGAGGACAGAGAACCTGGGAGAATTCCAGGGAGTTCTAGGGAGATTATCAACATGGGAGCCTGGAGGGCTCATTAGCAACCTCTGTAGATGTTTTGAGGTTCAAAATTCATGAAATGATGCCCACTAATGAATAATTCTTCTTAACCCTGCTTCATTTATTAGAAGTCTTCCTAATCATACAAATACTAAGTTGCTTTCCTACCTCTGCCCATCTTCTGGTTCCTGTTCACCATATAGCTGGAGAAGTGAGACACACTATACCTACCATGGGAAACGAAATAGAGGGACATATTGGAGTATATGATCTGGACATTAAGGATAATTTTCTACAGGACCTATTCTGTGGCTCCAGGGATTGTTTTACTTGGTAAACTTCACTTATAATTAGATGATGTTTGCTGAAATAGTCTCATAAAAGAGTTGGGATCCACCTTAAAAATGAAGAAATTCAATTTCCTGCATCACAGCTGTCTGGACTTACAAGAACAACCCGAGATGGATTTGGGGGCTGGCTGAGTGTAACCAGCGCAGGCCAGAGAGCAGTCAAGACGTGGCTTAGAGCCACACCCCCAGTGGAATTCAGCAAGTCACAGAAGGCAAGAGCTAGCAGAAGCTGAGGAACCATCTACTCCAACCCCTCACATTACAGCTGTGCCAATACCTGTGCAGAGTGAATGTGTGAGGTGATATCTCCCCAGATCCAGAAAAGTACTGCAAGCTAAGTCAGCCATTCTGACAGCCCCAATAGCCTTTTCCCTCTAAAGACTCTCATGTAAGCAATATATATTGTCAACAGTTAGAATGGTTAAGACAGCAGGCCCCGGAGTGAGCCTCTATGGGTGTGAAATCCCATACTGCCTGGAAAAATTTGATAAGTTAATTAATGATGCTGCACCCCACCTTTTTTTTACTCTGCAAAACAAAAATAATGCTATATTTTCCTTTGAACTTTGAAAAAAGAGTTGAACTGTGTGCCTGGCATAAGGAAAACAGTCAGCAAAGTTAACCATTTTTGTTACAATGACAACATGGCACAATTTTTCCTAGTTCAGAACCTTTATACCTGAGCATGGGAAAAAATATAGTTGTAAAACCCTACAGGTTTGTCTATATTGGGTCAGAAAGTAAACTTCCAGGCCCTTCCAAGATAGGCCTATATTAAACATGAGAAAAGTTCTTGGGAAAAATGGAGTTAAAAGATAAGTTTATATTCATGCAAAAAATATAAATCCATGCAGTTTTTTCACAATGCACATTTCATAGGCACTTTCTGAAGTATGTTAGTATGGATTTCTTGAAGGCAGAAATTCTTCCCTCTTAATCCCTAGCACCTGGAATACCATGGCTATTCTGCAAGTGCATAATGAATGTATGACATTGAGAGTAAAGAAAAATTTAGCATGAGACAACTAGCTGGGCCGTGGAAGGTCAGTTCAACCCAGTCCTTTCTGGGGACCACATTGCTGGGTGTAAATTCGTGGGACAACATGGAATATTTGGGTAATTTCAATGCCTGTCTGTGTATGAAATAATGTGTATGAAATATGTGCTTAATTATACAGCTAATAGACTCACTGACAAAAAAAATCAGGGTTGCTCTTCTGGGGATTGGTCCCTCATCATCTAAAATAAGATCCTGTACCTTGACTCTCAGATCCACATCTGTCAACACCATGAAGAAGTCGTTATAGGTCATTCCATACTCTTTCCTCAGATCGCCGATGAGATGCTGGTCCACCAAGTCCTCATCATCCACCACTCGCATAGGGTTTTCATTATCTGAAAGAAATGAAATGTGAATAAATACAGGTGTGGTGAGACAGAAGTCAGTGGGTAGTGAGTGGGTGAAGGCTCTGGGTGTCCATCCTGTCTCATCAGGCTAGCCTTCAGGAGTTGTAAACATCTGATTTACATTGTGTTTGAGCAAAACACAGAAACAGATCAATGAATAAACTAGCTTTGAAAGCCACTCTTCTAAAGCTGATCAAGGCCCTGTGTCCGCCTCCCTATTTACAGAGACTCAGGGGGAGACAAGGTAGAGTGAGGGCTGCTGAGTCATCCTTGAAGAAGACCACCACTCACCCAGGCTGAGTCCTCACCCTAACCAACTCAATCCAGACACTTTTGTCAGGTTTTATTTCCATAAAAAATAATTCCATGGCTGAAACTTGTGTCTGTTCCTCCTTGTTGGTATAGAACTAAGTTCTGGGCCCAATAAACTTGTCACAGCTACAGAGAAAAATAAAAATCTATGTTCAAACTTAGTCACAGGTTCATTTTAGTTCCAAAGGAAGTCAAGCTATTCATTACACATATTTCATAAGTGAATAAAATTCCAAAGTGTGACTGGATTTATGGACATGTTTAACATTACATAAATTGTTTCAATCATCAAACACCCAGAATAAATTGGTATCATTTGAAATGGCTCACCGGGTTAACAGGAAGCACAAAAATAAAGATAACTGGCTTTATGATGGCTTGCTTTACAATTTTTTTAACTGGCAAAAGTTATATGAATTCAGTGGAAACTTTACTTTGAACTTTAGATTTTGATCTTTTCCCAATATTCTTCCATAATGCTGGGCAGTGGCAGTAAGCCACAGCTTCCAGTCAGGACCAAATGATTCTGCAGTGTGTTGCTAAGCTGTGATGTTTGGGAGGTTAGGTTTATGAAATGTGATTTTGCCTTACAACATGTTCAACACACAATGAGTAGACATAAAGTTATCAAAGGTGACAAGCATCTGTATTTACTCCTTCCCTTCCACGAAGGTCACAATGTTTCCCTCAATCCTACCTGAATTTTAATTTCAAAATATTCCCTTTGTTAAAAACAAATGTGAAAAATTAAAGTTAGCTAAAATGTGATAATAGGAATACTAGTGAAGAGTTTCTATCAGTTATCAACACCATTACTCGGTGAGTAGCACTACAGTACTATAGTAGAAACCACCACAGTTAGAAGATGAGAGGTTACAGCTTGTATATTATAGACCATCACTCTTATTGGTCAAAGAGAGATATAGTTCAGCTATTACTTTGATTTACTTGATTATGAAAGTTGAAAGTATATAAACCATGAGTTTGATTTTTCCAAAGCAAATCAAATTGAGAGGGGAAAGATCTGTTGTCCTCCTTAAAGTCATAATTATGCTTCATGGATCACTACAGACATGAAGCTCGGAGCCTATAAGGAACCAAGTACATCTCAAAAGAAAAATTATATGCTGCATACATAGAAACTATTTTTTCAAGGGTACATTTATGTTGTCATTAACAAAATATAAATTAATTTAGAAGAATCCGTATATTTAATTGGCTGAGGTTTTTTTTTTATTTGGTATAGTGTTGAGTATAAAAAGCAAGTTGCAGAATAAAATGCATAGTACGACTTTATGCTTGGTTAAAACAAAATAAGGCAAAACAAGAAACATGCATACAGGAACACACACAGAAAAGATCCAGAAAGACACACAGCTGAATGAGGGTTGTCCTTGAGGAGTGAGGCAGCAGTAGGGAGAGGTGAGGCTGAGACTTTCACTGTGTATGCTGCATGTCTAGTCTATTCAAATTTAACAAGAAGCATATTTTACTGTGTGAATAATAATAATAATAAATCATTGAAAAACTAATTTTTTAAAAAGGTAGTTACAGTTAATGTTCTGATCCTAAGACTTTACAAACCACAGTTTATCTTGCATCTAGGAATTACAATTTTAATTTCCAACATACATTCACTTCTGCTTTTGTTTAATCAAAACAAAATCATCAGTGTCTTGAGTAGGTGCTAGGTGCTAGACTCACAAGTGAGTAACTATAATGGACTTCAAATTCCTTATTAGAACCAAATGACACCACTAGCAACTGCTTAAGAGAAAAACTCACAAAAACCATTGAATGGCTGTTGTGAGAGAGAGGTGGAGATTGTAGCAGATTTAAAAAACAGTCTAACTCTTCACCCTTGCCTACACCTATACCCTTGCCCTGTAACTGCAGCTCCTTGTAGTGGTAAATGGGCTGAGCTGTCCCACCTCTTGATTCCGAACTCACTTAAATTATTCAGGTTTTCCAATGAGATACATGGGACACAAGCAGAGGCTAGAAATGAGCCTACAAATTAGGATTGTTTTTGCCTCTGCCATTGTTATGAGAGCATGTCCACACTAGCCTGCTGGAGGATGAGTCAAGCCTAGTTACACTGGTCTCATCCCAGCCAAGTTTATCCCAGATAAGCTCGCAGTCAGTTGAGCCCCAACACTGGTATAAGTCCAGCCAAGATCAGCAGAATCACCTTGCCAATGTGTAACTTACTGAAGATATATGAGCAAACCTAATCCAGCCATCCCAGACTGGCCGAACCAGAGTTGTGATGTCTTCATGCTTATTATATACCATGATGTCTGAGAGTCTTTTCTACATAGCCTTCTTATGGCAATAGATAACTGAAACAGACATTATCTGGCTCAACTCAGGCATACTATTGAAGCTAAAACTACGAAACTATAGTGGACCCTGTGGTGTCCTAACTTCAGAACTAAGGTTGCTTTGAATATTTGCCCTTCGGATCCCACTTTGAGATGTGTTCTCCTTAAAGACAACTGCTTCCCCTAAGTCACTGTCCTACCAGGGGACAGCTCACGTTCAACAGCTGAGGCAGTGTGCAGAGAGGAGAGATAGAGAAGTTCTCCACCTTGTTTCAAAGTGAGCAAACCACTGCAGCTCAAATTCTCCTCTGTCCAATCTTGCACCCCTCACCCCTCATTCATATGGTGCCTGCAAACACAGCAAGCCCATGCATCTCCTGAATGCAAAACTCAGAGTCTCAGAGTCTGAATCTCACAGAATCCAATCTATTATAGACCCTAGGAAGAAGAGTGGCTTGCTTTAAGTTTACATTGCTAGGTCATAATGCAATGAAGCTGAGGACTAAGGGAACATCACTTCCCTCCTACCCAATACACTCTCTAATATACCAAAATACCTCACATTTAAGAGTAGAGAGGATAAAGGACCAAGATTTAAGCCAAACTTTGCCCTACTAGTATATTGCAAGAAAACATTTCACAGCCTTGCTTCTCCTTTCAACAAAACGTTTTCTGAAATATTTCAACCAATGGAAAGCATGGAAGCTTTGATCAACACTGGATCCAGCTGGGATGGGGGCAACCCTGTAGTAAATCAGATTCTCTCCAGGCCAAATTCTGAGGAAGGTGCACGTGAGGCCAGCTGCCTGCTCCTGTTGCAAGTCTCTGGCAGCTGCTCCTACTGAGAACAAGCATGTAGATATTTTTTTAGTCTGGGAATGCAGAATGTCTTATTTCTAATAAATTATTTCACCTGTGCACTTGTAAGCTTTTTGCATTTTTCATTAATGATGCTTATTACCTTGAATTGCAACCAGTTGCTTTTATATATATTTGTCATTAGATATGAACAACTCAACAATGAAGACCAAGTCTTAGACATCTTTTATATCCATACAGCTTGCCACAATTCATAACACACATAGGCACTCAGTAAAGATTTGGTAATCATGAAAATTTCTCCTTTAAGAAAGATATCATTTAATAAACAATCCAGTTAATAAATGGGTTAAGGACTTGAATAGGTACTTTTCAAGAGAAGAAATTCAAATGGCCAACAGACACATGAAAAAATGCTCAGGATCACTAGCCATCAAGGAAATGCAAATCAAAACCACACTGAGGGACTGGCGCTGTGGCACAGCACGTTGGAGCCCTGGCCTAGGCACCAGCATCCCATATGGGCACCGGTTCTAGTCCTGGCTGCTCCACTTCCGATTCAGCTCTCTGCTATGGCCTCGGAAAGCAGTGGAAGATGGCCCACGTCCTTGGGCCTCTGCACCCACGTGGGAGACCTGGAGGAGGCTCCTAGCTTTAGATCAGCACAGCTCCAGCTGTTGTGGCCATCTGGTGAGTGAACCAGTGGATGGAAGACCTCTCTCTCTTGTCTCTACCTCTCTCTGTAACTCTATCTTTCAAATAAATAAAAAATAAATCTTTTTAAAAAACTACATTGAGGTTTCACCTCACTCCAGTTAGAATGGATCTCATACAAAAATCAACACACAATAAATGCTGGAGAGGATGTGGGAAAAAAGATACCCTGATCCACTGTTGGTGGGAATGTAAGCTGGTACAGCCACTGTGGAAGACAGTATAGAGATACCTCAAAAATCTAAATATAGATCTACCATATGATGCAGCAACCCCACTCCTGGGAATTTACCCAAATCCACAGAAATCAGCATCTGAAAGAGTTATCTGTACCCCCATGTCCACTGCAGCATAACTCACAATAGCTGATATGGAATCAACCCAGATGTCCATCAACCATTGACTGCATAATTATACTATGATCCTGTTGAAGAGAAACATCATTTTCAAAATTTGCCTATGAATTACTTATTCACAATTAGGGAATCAAAATGCTCTTTTTATTATATTCTTCCTCTGTCAACTTTTCTACCTCTCTTTTTATTTATCACTCTTAAGCTGTTCTTCAAAAGAAATTGTCAAAGAACTTCCTTTGTCCTGCAGGGATAGCCCTTAAAATTTAGTGATTGGAGACCAGGGCTAAAATATTTTTTATCTCATAGTTTGCTGAGATAGAAACCTGTTTTTTGTGTTCCCTCTCCATATTTCTGTTTTCATTCTGCAATAAAGTGCCTTTAGCCAGTAATATTCTTTCTATTTGATGAATTTTGTCTATAATCCATCCAATTAACACAATACCATATTCCTATCCTAAACTGACATATCAAATACAATTAACTAGAAAAAATGCCTTTATGTGCTAACCCACTTTAAACTCACAAAAATAATATATTGGAATCTGCTCAAGCATCAGTAACTGTCTTTAGATGAATGCTTGAAATCTTAAGGTAAGTTTCCTTGGGTCTGTAGGTCCATCACTGATGGTCCAAATACATTTGGCATGATGGACCAGCTGGTAAGTACAGTTCACACTGCAGCTGGATGCAGGCCTCTGCTTTCCAGGCCCAAGAAAATCTGGAAGAGTAGAGAGAGAGTGCTTGATTTGTTTTTAAGGAAAAGTAAGGCCATCTGATAGACTTCCAGCTGAAAATCGGTCAAGGCTGGGTTTGGTTCACTGAAACCATAGCTCATGCCAATTCTTATTTTCCCATGGCTGACTCCCAGTCTTGGCTGAAAGTGCTACAGCCTTTCCCATAAGGGTAACCTGGGACATAACACAGGGAGAGAAAGGTCATCCAGCGATTAGATGAGGAACAATAACCTCCGCACTCCAAATCAGGTACTGACTGACATTCAGGTAGGCAAATACCCAAATCACAATACCTGATGTCCAAGAAGGCAGAAGAGAAAACCTCAGCTCTTCTACAGTGCATATTTAATCCAGATGTCTAGAAAACAGCAGGATTATGCAAAAAAAAAAAAAATTGCCAAGGCAATACCAGATGCTTATAAAAGGGCCCTGTAGATATTGAGATGGAAGACATAATGATTTTTCCAAACTTCTCTGAAATGAGGAATAAGAATACTTTGTGGAAGAGTTGGAGAGTAGCATGTTTGACACCAGGGACACCTGGTGGAGGACTTTCATCACCAGCCAGCACCAGTCTCTGTACTGGATTGAATACCTACTTCCTCTCAAGACATCTGGAGGTTAAGTTCACTGCCTAATGCTACTGCATAAAACTCTAGAAAACAAATGATTCAGCCCCAGTTAGCCAACAAATATGTGGCATTATAGTGTTAGTCTCTCAGCCTTCATTTTATCACCAGAGCTACTGATGCAGCTTTATCTGGAAGAGCCACTGTTGGGGCTCACTTGACAGCATTCTTTAATTAACAGACAACTAATCTTAGAACTGATTGTCTGGTGTAACAACTGTGACAGCTCATGGATCTCCAGAGGACTGCTGTGTCAGATGGTGGTGATAATGTTGACTACAATTAATAGAGCCTATGACCTAACAGTTATCTGTGTTGTCTCATTTAAACTTCACCATAGCCTGTAAAATGATCAGATTATCTCAATAGCGAAAATACTTTAATCTATGGATTCCTTAAGTAAAATATCTAAAACGAGAAGCACATCAGCACGTTCACTCTCCCTGTTGCCATACTTGACCTCCATCAGCTTCACCATCTCTCCTTTTATTGATCACCCTCAAATTTTCCTTCTTTAAAACAAGCTATCAAAGAACCTCCTTTGCCAAATGTTGTGTGTCCTTTTTCTTTTCTGGGCCAGTTTCATATACAGTTTTACTTACAATTCTGCATTTTCTACTTACAATATAGTGCATGTAAAGTGCCATGCTATTTTCTGTCTGTGTACGTGTTCCATGTTCAAGTGTTGGGAATGCTCAGTAATGTCCTACAGCATCTCAACTTAGTTTAGCCACAGAATTTGCTACAAATTTGTGTCCTTCTATGTTTTACTGCTGAGAGACACTTGGGTTGGCTTAATCAGCCTCTTCAATGGTGGGCTCTGAGGGAGGGTCTCCTTGCAGGGTAGTCCTGGGCATTCCTGCTAACTTGCCTTCTGCATAGTGGGGGCAGCTTGATAATGATGGGGTTGTGGACTTGCCATTCTTTCTGTTGATGTTCAAATTCTTCCTTCTTAGTCTAATCCTTATCCAACCAGTTGATGATTTCATTACACTTGTCAAGAATCTTTTGTCCTGATAGTTGATCCTGCCTTGAAGATATGATTAACTTCTAAGCTGAAACTTAAGCACTAACTTGCCCAAAGTGGTACAACAAATAAGTTATGACTCTGGACCTGAATTTTTTTGCCACCAGAACTTTGGTGTCTTTTGTTTGTATAATTATCATTGTTGTTGTTTTGGTTAAGGACACATTTTTGTTGTTGTTGTTCTATCCCCCTAAACATACACACAACAGAAATAAATGTCCACAAACCAGTCACAAATCAATGGTGATTTAGGATGGGACCTTGGAAAGAATACTACTTATTTTTCCTTCGTAGCCCACTTAGGGGAAGGTGAGCTAATGAACACAGAGAATAAAAAAATGAAAATTTATGCCTAGGTATATTCTAGGCACACAACAGTGTGCCACAATATTTTGCATTTAAGAATTTGTTCAGCAAGGAGAGCTTGTGTTAAGTGTTCTTCTGCAATAAGAAAAAATATAATTTAGAAAGCTAGATCTTATTCCAGTGAAGTTGACATTATCATGACATAATTATGACTGACATGTTTAATTGTATCTTTGAGATAATGTGTTATATGTATTAAAGTTAAGTATGAATGGGAAATAGTTTTATATTTTTTCAGATGAAATATATTTTATGAAAAATATGCAGAACATGTACAATAATGGAAGATGAAGCATTATGCTGAAGGATTTTCATTATTGCTAATAACATCAACAAAAGAAGAAAATGGATTAGGATAAATGTTTTTAAAAAATAAAGCCCTAGGGCCGGCGCCGTGGCTCAATAGGCTAATCCTCCACCTTGCGGCGCCGGCACACCGGGTTCTAGTCCCGGTTAGGGCGCCGGATTCTGTCCCGGTTGCCCCTCTTCCAGGCCAGCTCTCTGCTATGGCCAGGGAGTGCAGTGGAGGATGGCCCAGGTGCTTGGGCCCTGCACCCCATGGGAGACCAGGAAAAGCACCTGGATCCTGGCTCCTGCCATCAGATCAGCACGGTGCGCCGGCTGCAGCGGCGGCCATTGGAGGGTGATCCAACGGCAAAGGAAGACCTTTCTCTCTCTCTCTCTCTCACTGTCCACTCTGCCTGTCAAAAAAAAAATAAATAAATAAAAATAAAAAATAAAAAATAAAGCCCTAGAGATGCAATAATTATTTAAAAAAAAAAAAAGACTGGGTGGGTTCTGACTATGAAACTTAACTAATCCCAGTAAGTCTTGCAACATTCCCATAAGAATGACAACAATTAGATCTCAGCTGCCCAAGGCTGAGCTGTATGCCTCCTGAGTCTCACACCCATCATTAATATGAAAAATTGTGAAAATTCTAAATTCAGCCAAAACCTTCTGCTCTCCAAAAGGACTTGGGCGCAGCTCAGTCCATATTTTCAGTGACTTTTCATTTAGCCCAACAGCTTCTCTCAGCTCCAATTAATTCTCCCTCTGCCTTGCAAGAGTCAAGTGCTGCATAAAGTCTGCAGGAAGATGCGAAGGCACTGCTCACAGGCAAGAAGACCCAGGATCCAGAAGATAGTGCTGGATTACCCCTGTGCTTCTCCCCCTCTGCTGTATGAGGAGTTAAAAAGTTCACGGAAAATGCATACCATGAAAAAACTAAGCCTGGATTTTGAAATTTTTGCACTGAAATAAACTTATCTTAATTCCATTTTCCATTAATTTTTGAAGCCCTTATGTATAACTCTCATTTTTCTCCGCCTTACTACCTTGCAAGCCAAGTGCTGAAAACCTAAATCCAGAATCATCCTGGCATGGCTGTGCAAATAAGCAGGCAAACTGGCTTGTTTTATGACAGCCCTCTGGACATCTGAATTCCCCTTTTGATTCTCCAATGGCCCCTCCCATAACACTCACCCCATCTTAGATACGAGAAATATAATAATATAATTAAATTATTTAAGAGAACCTAGCTGGAAGTGGTCGATTTTCATGGTGCTGTTGCTGACGGGGCCGAAGATAGTGATCACTGAGATTTTTCTGGTGGCCATCTTGCAGAAACTTTCCAAGTATTCGTCACGCTGTTGCACATACATGTTGTTTTCAGCCTTGGGAGCAGTGATCAGCTGGAGGTCGGTGGAGATAAGCACATGATATAGTGTTAGTTTCGTACTGAGGCAGAGCCCAGAGAGGTTTGGAACAGAGCGCTGGTAGTAATTAACACATAAACTACAGATGATTCTGTTGCACAGTTAGGGCCAACAATTGCCATCTGGAAAGCACTCCCTGTCCCCCCCTCCTTTTTTAAATGCTCCATACAGTTTAGAATTTTCTACTACTCTCCATATGTCTTGGTGTTTTCACTTGTGAACTCTGCACAGGAATACTTACTTCTGCAATATTGTTTGAGTATTACATGAATACTTGGCGTGCAATGATTATTCTAAAAAATGTTGTCTCCGTATCCTCATGTTGATCTCCATTACCCTAACTGGCTAATCAGACATTGGTTAAATCAAAGCTTTCTGCCTTTATTTCGCATTCCATGGAATTGAGAGAGTTTCTCCAAGCCAGGACTTGGGAACCAAGAACATTCCATGATTTGGAACTTTTATTAGGCATCCTTGCAGACAGCTTTTATGATGATCTATGGTCTACAATTTGTCACATGGGAGATATTCATTGTGCCATTAGGCCTGCACAGAGCTCCTGGCAATCACCTTTAGATACTGGAATCCTCCAACTACATAGTCTGTACTTAGTTTAGTCTTCTGTTCAGACTCTTGTCTTTTTTTTTTTTTTTTTTTTTTTTTTTTTGACAGGCAGAGTTAGACAGTGAGAGAGAGAGAGAGACAGAGAGAAAGGTCTTCCTTCCATTGGTTCACCCCCGCAAATGGCCGCTACGGCCGGAGCTATGCTGATCCGAAAGCCCAGAGCCAGGTGCTTCTTTCTGGTCTCCCATGTGGCTGCAGGGACCCAAGCACTTGGCCCATCCTTCACTGCCCTCCTGGGCCACAGCAGAGAGCTGGACTGGAAGAGGAGCAACCGGGGCTAGGACCCAGTGCCATATGGGATGCTGGCACCATGGGCAGAGGATTAACCAAGTGAGCCAGACAGCCAGCCCCCAGACTCTTGTCTTTCATCCTCTCTTTGTGACTTCTGATTCCTTTAGGCAGTGGTAAAAGAGAAAAAAGAATGTAATCGAGATACCCTAGTCACCAATCATCTGAGGAAGCTTATTATCTTATTTTGAATAAATTGAGGCTACTACTACTTTTTAGAGGTGCTCTTAAACTTCTCTTTAAGAATGCCTCTGGGGCTGGTGCTGTGGCTTGGTAGGCTAAGCCTCCGCCTGAGTGCCATCATCCCATATTGGCACTGGTTCGTGTCCTGGCTGCTCATTTTTCTTCAGCTTAGTACCTTGCAAGCCGAGTGCTGAAAACCTAAATCCAGAATCATCCTGGCATGGTTGTGCAAATAAGCAGGCAAACTGGCTTGTGTTATGACAGCCCTCTGGACATCTGAATTTCTCTTTTGATTCTCCAACAGCCAGCTCTCTGTTTATGGCCTGGGAAAGCAGTAGAAAATGGCCCAAGTGCTTGAGCCCCTGTACCCATGTGGGAGAACTAGAAAAAGCTCCTGGCTCCTGGCTTCGGATCAATTCAGCTCTTGCTGTTAACAACCATTTGGGAGAGTGAACCAGCTGACGGAAGACCTCTCTCTCTCTCTCTCTCTCTCTCTCTCTCTATCTATCTCTATCTCTATCTCTATCTCTCTGTAACTCTACCCCTCAAATAAGTAAATAAAATCTTTTTTTTAAAAAAATGCTTCAATGTTTTCATCTAACGTAATACAAAATCTTCTTTACTACCTTGACTATTTTAGTTCCCCTCTTCTGAGCCTTATCCAGTTCACTAGATTTTCCTGAGCTGAGACCAGCCAGAACTATGTACCACCCTCCAAGAGTGAGTGGGCAGGGTGCTGTTCACCCTGTAGGTGGGAGGATGTGAAATTTTATTCTGACTCCAAACCGATCATCATGCTGATGGCTGTAGATTCACTCTGTTGACTCATCAGTGAGCCAAAAGCAAGACTCTATAAGTTTACTTTACTGCAACCAATTCCTTGTACTTGACCACATTCAAATTTATTAGCCACTTTTCTATCTACCCACCTAATCCTATAAACTATTTCTCAAGTTCATGGCTATTAGACTGGCATTTTTCAAAGGGAAAGTCACTCTGTTGTTAACCTCTTATAAATATTCTATCATAAATGTTTGAGAAGTCAGGTCCAAGCTTGGACCTACAGTTTATTTTTCTCTGTCAGAGATGTGTTTATTGCTTCCCGCAGGCTCCCCCTTCTATGAATTTGCTGTGAATGACAACATGCTCTCCCCTCAAGGAACTGCAAATGTGTTCAACAGCCTTTGAGTGGAACATTAACAAAGGTTTTCTGGGATGAAGTGGTTTCTCTCCCTCTCTCTCTCAGATCATTATTTATTTTAAATAGACATGCTCTAGTTTATTTTTGATCATGTGTTTATTTGCCTGTGCAGATGGACATGGTGCATAGGAGATGTTTGTTTTAGAAATGTGTTTTGCCACAGGGGAAAAATAATAAAATTTTCCAGATTTGTTCATTGATTCATACTTAGCCTGAAAAGAAGATTTAAGATGGCTATAAAAGCATACCATGATGGTGTTTTTGGTTGGTTGATTTTTAGTTAGCTACATGGGATTTAAAAATATTTCTTCAGGTTTTGATGGTTACCCCAGATCTTGGAGTTTTATTTTAAGTCTCTCTATTTTAGGTTTTACTTGCTAGCTGTTCTTTCTTCATAAACAGATGATTTTGAAATAAATACAATTAATAAGCAGGAGAAACAACGTTAAGAGACAGAACTTTATTGTCAATTGCCTGGGACTCCCTATTCTAAATGAAGGATAAACCCATATTCAGAGCAGATTTAGAAACATTTCTAGGCACTTCTAGTTGCCCAGATATAGATGACTGACAAATCATTTGCCTCTGTAACTTCAACCTTATTCATCAACTCCATTTCTTGGTCTCATAATTTCCTATGGACTCTTTAAGACCCATGCCCAGATCTAGGTATGACATGATTTCAAGAGTTTTCAAAGCCTCCTCTGGTCTGTTCCTTTCCCTTGTGTATAATTAAGAATTTCAGACAATAAATCATCAAACAGAACCTCATCCTCCCTGTACGGCAGCTTCTCCCACATAACTCTGCATACAATGGCTTTCAGCCCATTGGTACTTAATCTCACTTAAATAAATAGAAACCTCTGATGTTTGTTTTCACCTCAGAGCCTTTGCCTGAGGATGCCTCAATCTACCAGAGAGATGACATTCATGTTGCCTGACTCATTTCCTGGCTGCTGGCCCTACAAGAGCCAGCTCCAGGCTCTCTTCTTGTGAAAGTTCCTCCAATTTCTCCCTTACATGACCTCTCCCGTAGCCATAGCCAAAGCACTCAGAATTATGAAATGGAAGGGTTCATGGGCCTTAGCCAGGCCACTTAATTGCATAAACCTGTCCTATCACCTTTACACTGGAACAATTCCCTGCCAACTTCATAATGTTGTGAGAATTCAGGGGGAAAAAAGGAAGGAATAAAGAAAGAAAGGAAGGAAACAGAAAAATACATCCATAATACATTGTGTGCACCCGAGCACACACATGCACACTGCTTCTGAATCGTTAACCTGCATTCCTTGCTGTCTTTGCCCACGTTACACACACACACACGCACACACACACACACACCTGCCTCACTTCCCCATCTTATCCGAGTCTTTCTTCACATGTAGCCTTGATGCTCCTCTAGGTCTTTTCTAGCAGGCAGTGATTGCTTCCTCCTGTTGTACTATTCTTGTCTGCACTGCCCACTGGGAATTCTACATTTGTTTCATTCTCTGTTATCTTTTACATGGGTGTCCCAGCTCCCCAACTACTATGCGAGCTCCTCAAGGCACAAGCCCAGACCCTATTCCTGTGCCTCAGGTGGCAGGAGCCTCACAGACACATGGCCAGTGTCCCTCAGGTGCATAGATCTCTCCAGCCAGAGAAGAGAGGACGGCCTCAGGAACACAGGGTCTCTGACCAGGAATGTCTATCTGAACCCACAAATCAGTTGGTAAAGACATTCTTCTTTACACTCAATCTCTGGGCAAACAGAGATAGCTGATCATCCAAACATATTTCATGGACTCCTTCCCTTATGTATCAGCATCTGCATCATATTCATTTTCCAGCTTGGCAAGATTTCAAACAGTGTTTAACACAGAAATCATCTCCAGACACCCTTTCCTTAAAAGAGCATCCTGTAACTCCTCTGAGAACATTACTGTCTGTCACTTGGCCTCTCTCCAGGTTGGTAGCAATACATCGGGGTATGTATCATGAGTTTAAAACGTGTTGTGATTCTTTTTTTATGTGTCTGTTCCAAATGGTATGTTGGCTCAATGAGCTTCAGAGGATGGGGAAGCCTGTTTACATAAGGAAAGGGAGCAACAGGAATGGGAAGATGCTAGGGGGGAGATATTTTAAGCCTCAGATTGTTCTAAATACTGTGTTAGGCTCACAACACTAGATTTTTACAGGATTCTGAAAAGTAACTTTAAAGCGAGCAGTCTGCCTTAGTAAGCCAGAGCTTTTAATCTTTTTCTTCTTCTTCTTCCTTTTTTTTTTAAAAAAAGTTATTTATTTATTTGAGATGCAGAGAGACAGACTGACAGTTGTACAGTCAGACAGAGAGCGCTCCCATCCACTGGTTTACTCCTCAAATGCCTGCAACCCAGGACTGGACTGGGCTAATGCCAGGAGCTGGGATCTCAATCGAGGTCTCCTACATCAGTGGCAGGAAATCAGTTGCTTGAGCCATCATCTGCTGCCTCCCAGGGTGCTCTTTAACAGGAAGCTGGAGTCTGGGGCTGGAACTGGAGCTGGAGCTGGTACCCATTCCAGATACTCCAATACAAGGTATGGGCATTTTAACCACTAGGCTAAACACCAGCCACTCCATCCTTTTCTAAAATTAAACCAAATAAGTAGGTTGTTGTGTCAGTATCTAGATTTTTGAAGTAAGGCTGAAAATATCAACCACTTGAATTATGGGAAATTCAATCGTGAAAGAGTGCTTAAACCTGTGCTTGAATTTATGCAATTCAACACACTGAGGTCCTTTGTGAATGACAACTAAGTGGATCTCAGAGCAAAAACGATGGCTTATCAGTGATACTGATGAGTCCACTGCAGTCATCCCCAACCTGGCACCAAGCAGTCTGAGGATTAGATGAAGTGGGATTAGCCTATCATTCTTGACAGTCTGCAGGGAATGCCAGAGAGCTGGGGTGCACAGAACTAGCTGGATATTAATGTTAAAATTCCACATTTGTGCCTAGCATGCAATGTTGACAGTTACTATACCTTACACTTATTTTGGTAACTCAAGCTTCAAGGTGAATTTTCAGATGTTCATATTTATTAACTAATGGGGTAACTCTTTAGTTTCTCCTGCACTTAATGGCTTATGCCAGGAAAGACAGAATAGGGGGAGTGGTTTGAGCTTGGGAATTAAAATCACACAGACTTGAGTCCTAATTCTGGCTTTTCCACATATTATTTATACACTTTGGTACCTTCTTAACCCCTTTCAGCTTCTGTTTTCTTATCTGTAAAGTTGGGTTCATACAGCATTCAAACAACACAGTCTCAGAAAAGCACTTTGCAGGAAGCACGTTTCTCTGTCGGCAGGCTGAGCAGCAAGGGCACTAAAGAATTGAAGTCTGGTTTGAGAATAGGCCACCTGACCACCGGAAGCACCTCTGACGGCCTCAAGGATGCCATTCATCCAACCACAAACTCTACCACTGCTGCCAGATTTTCTCTAAGTAATTGGTTAAGTAAGCATCACATGAGGTTTTCACACCTAAAGAATAGTATAAACAAATACAAAGCACTAGGGGTTTCCAATAAATTTTAGGCAGGATCAGATTACGTTGGAGAGATGAGCAGAAAGGCCAGCAAAATTTCTTGGAATTTAAATGTCTCCAGTTTGAGCAACTGTATTAAATTGAGGCCACTTGGAGGCAAATGTTCTCAGCCATACTTGATCAGCCTGAGAGTGCTAAACCTTAACAAGTACCAATTATATCACTGAGCTTCCTACAAAACATCAGCAGAGTTTGATGGAAAAAATTAATGGAAAAACTATTAATGATACCAACGACATCTTTTACCCAGCAACATTGTCTCCTTTCTACTTGGTGAAACACTTTTTTTTCCCCTCTTCTTCTTCTGCTTTAGTTCATCTGGTCTTTTCTAACCCATTCTCACTAACTTTTCTAGCATTTTCTAACTTTTCTGACATTCTCACTGTTGACATCATTAGATCTTCAGAAAACACATTTCTGACATAATCACCAGCTGAGCGCATGTCGGAATGAAAGACTGAAATGCTTCCTTTTGGTATCTTCTTTCTAATAACAAACCTGGTTCTCTCACCAGCCCCAAAGAGCCCACACCGCCAAGAGCAGTTCCAGCTGGTTTCTGTTTTGCCTCCTATGACATCAGCAGAAGCTGTCGTTGGAGTTTCATTTGCTAGAAATTTATGACCAGGGATTCTGTTAACAGCAGAAAAGACCCAGCTGCGCTTTCAGATGCCTGACTAAGGGGGTGGAGAAGGAGGGAGAAATGAACTGCATGACTAATATTGGGGACACAGGATGCAAACTCCTTTCTTTTAACTCACTCATTAGCAGCAATGGAAGTATTTGCCAAGTGAATGCACAATGATGATCCTGTTATTATACCCAGGATTATCTTTCCCTAGTTAAAACCTGATCATGAGGAATGCTTTGCCTGCTGCATCTGCTGAACTGACAGAGTCGGGCCATGTGCCTTTGTGGGCTGGACCAAGTCTTAACTTCTCAGGGAGAGCCATGGAGTACACCACCAATGTTCTTCTTTTCCCCAAAGGCAGCAGTTTTCCCCAGAGCCCCCTTAACAACACCAGATAGAACTCTACCCCCAAACCTGCAATGCTGTTGGTTTTCACTGCAACATTCCTGCTTAAACATTTGAACTCCAAGAATATCCAAGCAGCTATTGAGCTACCCTAGCAGACAGCTTATCCTCTGACAACCTGAGTTAATACAGTTACTTTAAGGCTCTGGTTAAAAATACAACAACATACACAAAGCTCCTAACAAGAGACACAAAGCACCCTTAGAACCAACCAGAGCTTAGGTTTCTCCTAACTCATAGCTCCTGTATTGATGGAAACCACTAAGAGAATGTGGGACCTGCCCCACCCGAGATAAACAGCACAAAGAATTCTGCTCTGAGTCACGTTACAGGTGCACCTTTAAGCTTTTTGCAACCACTAAAGATAAAGGGGCTCCAGAATCCCTCTGTCTGGATGATTGATCCAAATACAGGCAGGACTGGAGGACTGGAAAGATCCCTTGAGAAAGAATGCTGAGGGAGTACAAGGTGGAGTCGCCTTGTGCCTCCGGTAGGGATGGGCACTGTCCTCCTGGCAGACCACTCAGGGGTCTGAGAAGACCATTTCTGATGCACATTGCCTAATGGTAATTGACCAGTTGATTGACTGGCTATTCTGAATTAATGGCAGCACATTGTTTTCCACCTCGACAGCCTGCAGTAAAATGAAGACATCAGGAAGTCAAGAGTAGAACTCTTCCAGAAGACACAGGGAGGAAAAGAAGCATCTTCACAGGATGGGTGAGAACTGCCCTTAGCATTTAGGGTGGGCTTAGGACTTTGCAAAGCCCTCCTTAGGTCTGACTGGATTGGAGGCACTGGCAGGAAATGTCACAAGAGAGACTATGAGATGAATCTGTGCCTGGGTGCACCAGTGGCTCTGAGAGCCACAGGCAAAGTGGGAGCAGGACCCTGTCGCCTGTCTGACACCCACACCCTCACTTTATAGAGCCTCAGGAGAAAGCGACACCTGGACTCCACATTCAGATGTACGTAGGGTGCTGGAGTCCGAGTATGGAACCCAGTTCCCCCTACTCCATCCCTCTGGCACGGATGGGGGAGACGATTTCTGCAGGCTGCTTTTCTAAATACAGGTGAGGCTCACACCAACAAGGACCTCTCCCCCTCCCAATCATACCGCAACCCAGACAGCTGCCTTTCTTCCCTCTTCCCGGCTTCCAGTGTCAATCTACACCTCACTCAAGAGACGAAAGTGGAACACTGTGGTTTCTCCAGGCACATGCTATGGTTCTGAAATTCACACAGACTACAGAAACTCCTTCCTCCTTTTATCCTTTGAACTTGATAAAAGAAACCCGTGTCCAGAGCTATTCCTCGGAAGAGAGCAGTAAGGATGGGAGAGGGGTGCTGACAGGGTTGGGGGAAGCTGACCACAGGTGCTTCCCTGTGCTCACGCTAAGGGTCCCAGCCCCTGGCTCTGTACCTCAGGGTACCGTGGGGTGGACAGAGGCTCCTTGAGCATTTAAACTGACAGGAGCTGCTGGCCTGGCTGGCCTTTCCTGCCACACTCCCTGATTTGTTGACCTGGCACAGGCTCAACCACAGTGCGGCATCTAGCAAATATATTTTACAAAAATATCAAGACAAACGCAAACCTGCCAGGGCTCAGCTCACAGACCAAGGCCAAGTGGAAGATTACTCACCAGAAGCCTTCGTTTGCCTTCGAAGGACCCCAGCAGGTCGGCTGCAGACTTCCTGGGGCTCTGCGGGGGCTGCTTGGTGCTGGGCTTGGGGTAACCCCCCTGCTCTGCCTTGCCCACCTTCTTCTTCTTGGACTTCTCTTTCTGTTTGCTCTTTTTCTCAGCTTTCTTCACGGACTTTTCACTCTTGAGGAGCTTGTCTGGCTTCTCATTCTTCACCTTTTTTTTCTTTTCCTTCTCGGGTTTCTCAAGCTTTTCGTGCTTTTTAGACTCCTTTGCATTTGGGGAAGGGATCTTGCCCCCCTGCAGCTCCTCCTCTAGCTGAGAGGCTGTGGGCCGGCTGAGGGCGGACTTGTCCTCGTACTCATTGCTGAGAATTTTGTCCTGCGCCTTCTTTTTGGGAGGTTTTCCCTTGGCTGGCTTGTGGGGCCCTGGCACCACATTTGGGTCCTGGTGGCCATGCTCCCGCCTGTCCGTGTGGTTGTCCCGGAAACGGCCTGGGCTAGCAGCCCTGGAGCTGGGCTCCGAGATGGCGGTGGGAGGGGCGGCCGTGAGGCTCTCAAAGCTGGTGGCTTTGCTGGGCCTCCTGGGGCTCTGCGGCCTCTCCCTCTGCTGCTCTTTCCTGGCTGGAGGGTAGAGATTGTCTGAGACTGGGGGCCCCCTGGCTGTGGTCGCCTCGGCTGTAGCAGGGGTCCTGTGGGAGACTGAGGAGGTGTGCGCCCGGGAGGTCCAGGGCCTCTGAGTGGTGGGGAAGGGGGTGGTGGTGGTCGGTCTCGCTGCTACAGTTACTGCCCGGGACGTGACCCGAGTGGCTGTTGTGGCTGGAGCCGGGGCTAGGGTGGTAGCCCTGGGGGTGGGGGCAGGTGCCAGAGGCGCCGTGGCGGTGGCGGTGGCAGGTTTCCGCAGCACCTTGATCCGCGTGTCTCTGGTTGGAGGGACGTGTGCTCTCCTGGGGTCCTCCTTCCTCTTCTCCCCGCCCAGGCTTGCCCTTCCTGCTCCCCCACCACCCTCGTTCCCCTCCTCCACCACCTGGCCCTCTACACCAGATGCCTTGCATTTCTGGACAAAGCCCTTCTGCCTGATTTTCTCTATCCGGCGCATGGGGCCCTGGTCGATGACCTCGTACATGGCCTCCAGCCGGACCGGGTAAGGGTAGCGCTCCTCCACCTGCAGCGTCTTCTTCAGCAGCACCATGCCAAACTTGCCTTTCTCCAGCTTCAGGAAGCTCATCAGCTTGGGGATAAGGCTGGGTTCCAGGGGCTGCTCCAGGACCCGGCCCTCGCTGGTGATCCTGCGCACCTTGCCCCCTTCCTCGCCGGCCTGGTGGAACAGCACGATCTGCTGGATGTGCCTTTCGGCCAGTTCGCAGTACACGTCGGCTTTCAGCAGGCTCATCATGAGGCGGTAGTAGCCTTCCGAGGCGTGCGGCGCTGAGATAACCCACACCCGGCTCTTCCCCGCAAAGCTGGCCAGGATGTTGGGCGAGCTGGACCCAGAGGGGAAGCGCAGCATCCTTGACCGAGAGGAGGACCCCTCATCCCGCACCATCTCGCGAGGAGAGCTCCTGGCCGCAGGTCTCAGCTGAGGTCTCTCAGGGGTCCCGTGGGCGTCCAGGGGGGCTGGCAGCGCTGGGGGGCTAGCTAGTCTCAACACCGGCACGCTCCTCCTGCTTTGGAGAGGCCGTAGGTTTGGTTCTCCCAGGGTGGCTCTCTCAGTTCCATGAGACCTCCCTGTGTGCCTCAGAAACCGTCCTGGCCTGCTGCCGTTAACCGGGGACACCAAAGGCCCCTTCCGCCCTCCATGGCTCCCTCTGTGTGTAGCGCGGGGGTGGGGTTCTGACCCACACACTAGCCACATTGCCAGCAGCATGGTGAAACGGGGTCCCATTCTCCACGTCATTGTGTAATCCACTTAGGGATGCCGCAGGGTCATAAGACAGAAAGGGGAGGGGAAAAAAAAGAAAAAGAAAAAGAAAAGACAGAAAGTCATTTAATTGCAAACAGAGCTAGTCATTATCTCTTTCCCTATCTTGGCCCAGGGGACCGGGAAGGAGTGGTTAGAGAAGGAGGCAGGTCAGGTCGGGGAATGGAGCCTCGGATGGATCCTGTTGCTTTTACACTCCTGTAATCTGTCAGTGCTCAGCAGAGACAGTTACATTAAGCAGGAAACCCAACTCAGTTCCCCAGTCAGAGGTGCTTGCATTGTTGCAACTAACTCTGGATGTTCCAGCGGAAAATGCAAACCGAGCACATTAATTCCGGCAACATTCACACTCATTCCTTCAAATCAGCAACAAAGAAAGAAAGACCCCAAAGACACAAAGGATTGCACACTTACATGGTGGCTCATAGAGATGGAATGCGGAGAGTTTCCAAAGAAATCTGAAGTTTGGTCCCCAGGACAGTTTCCTGGATACACGATTTCTCCCAAGCCTCTCTCCGCTCTCCGAGGGTGGCCAAGACACCAGGCTTGTGCTGCGCCCCCGCAGCTCCAGCTTTCCAAGAAGCACCACGGATCCACAGCCTCTCTGGGGCTGACAGCTGAGCTCAGTCCTGTTCCCTCTGGCTGTGGCTTTTACCTTCTGGACAAGTAGGATGAGGCGAAAGGCGCTGTCCTTTTAAGTCTTTGTGTCTCCATTTGTCCGCAGTTTCTCCGTGGTCTTGTGTGCCTGGGCGAGCTGGTCCGCCGACACAGGACGTCCCTGACAGTGGAATCCGAGAGAGCTCTGAATCTCCCTCTTCCCTCTTTGGAGTTCCAGGAGCCTTCTTATCACCCTTTCCCCCACAGTCTGGCTTAGTCTCTTTGTTTCCGGGAGTAAAAGCGCTGGGATTAATATGTTTTCCAGGCTCAGGGAAAACACAGGAATGTGATGTTGAAAAAAGGACTTTTTTTTTTTCTATGCCTCTGCTTCTCTCCTCCCTTTATTCCTCCCAATCTTATTTTCTCTTTTCCTTCTCCCTCTGCTTCTTCTTCCTCTTGTCTGGATTCAGTCCCGGAAATGTCAGAACTCCCTGTTTTGCTCCAAACCAAACTCAAACAACAGAAGCCACTGGAAATCAAGGAAAGTCCACTAAGAATTTAACAGATCAGCAAAACACCGCCTCCTTCACATTTCAGCATGCTTGGAGTGGACTTGATGGGGAGGGCTGGTCTTTGGGTGGGGGAAACTTTTGAAACTCCACACATCATCATAAATCACTTCAGAAGAGATGACTGAGGACTTAACCCCTTCCACGCCACGCAATCAGGGTACTTTCCCTTCTTGCCTGTTCTCACACTGCGCTTCAGAAGTGGGGAATTCTGACATTTCTGCATCTGGCTGCTTGGTTGTCTCAGAGACAGGGTGCTTGGCTGTACACACACAGACAGTGTGTGTCTTTATACTCCCATGTATATATTTGTATCTCTTTCTCCCTGCTTCATGCTTTTAGTTTGAGGTTGGAAAAGCTCATGGAAAACATGAGTGGGTTGTTTTTATTTTATGCTAACTGGAGAATCAGATTACCATGCTCGTGGTCCTACGTTCTCCTTGGCATGGAAGGAAGCTGGTAAAAGGTTAGAAACGCAGGCAATGGCTGATGTTCCCCCAGAGATTGCCATCACAGAATGTGCATGGTGATGTCTGATTTCAGTGCTCTGGCTAGAGTTGGTTAGAAGGGCAGCGACCTCACAGGGTGGGAGGTGTGTGTGTGTGTGTGTGTGTGTGTATGTACATGTATGTGTGTGTGTTAGTGTTTTCTTCTCCAGGAGGTTTGATGTCTGAATGCTTTAGGCAATTCTTAGTAGGTGTATCAGATTACAAAAGAGAGACTGAGGCAGCTTTGGGCTTCTACCTCCTGGGTCGGCGGTGAGGATTCAACTTTCAGTGGGAAGGAAAGTGTTCTCAGGTTCTACAGGTGTTTCTCCCAGTCTCTCCAAGGTCAATATTATCTGTCAGTGACAGTCAAGTCAACTTCCTTGCAAGCGCGGCCATGCTAATGGCTTCTCTTAGTGGATCAGAACTTACTCCTAGTTGTTACCCCTTGATCAGCCCCAGCACCCCTGCTCACATTTGCGTTTCCCTTCACATAAAGCCTGAGCACAGAATTGGAAAGTCTGGTAGTGGCATTGAGTGCGCAGCTTCAAGTTCAAGGGGTAATAAGAAAGAAGGCACTCCTGTGGTGCTCCAGACACCTGGCCATACAGGAATGAGGGTGAACTTCAAGGAGATGTTCTATTGACCACAGCCACAGATTTTAGCTTTCATGGGACTCACCTGTTCGTTGATCGAGTACCTTGTTGCCGGTTTGTGATTCCCTTTCTGTTTATTTCTCAGGGTACTCTACATTCTCCACTTCTGACAGCCCTTCTATCCTTTCTTTTCCTTTTCTGTTCTTTCTATTGAATAACAAATACCACTTATTGGGCATTTTCATGTGATGCTCTGGGCCTGGCATATATATATATATTCATATTCTGTGAGGATATATATATTATATATAAATCTGTGGATAGGGAGAGCTCTGTCTTACAGTGACCAAACTCAGCCTTGGTGAGTTTAAATAAATTGCTCTCTGTCACGCAAATGCCAAGTGGTAGCACAGACAATTGAAGCCTCGTTTAGAACTCTACAACACAGGAAGTTATCCTGCCCTCTCCTTTCATTTCCTACCAATGCCTTTGTTTCTCTGCCTTCTGCTTCCTCTTTGTGTTTCCCATGTTAGTAGGAGAGTCACACTTTTGCTCAACCAGAGCCCTTTTAGAGTCCTACTTTCTGGAATAATATTGTAGCCCAACTTTTCTCAGTATGTCTTGGAGTCTTTTGTTTTTCTAGACTATTTCCTGGCTTCCACTAATCTTTCAATGATGTCTACGACATTCACCACCTGTGCCCGGGAAAAGTGGAAATACAGTCACTTTAGCCATCTGGAGTTGACTGGGGAGGAAAACTCACCCCCATAAGGAGCTCTATATCTTCCTGGGACCCCTGGCTTTCTTCCCTTCTGTGAGCATCAGTCACTAGATGGCGATCTAAGCACACAGACATGAGAGAATCTACCATTCCTCCAACTTCACGCTTCCACCAATGTCTGCCCACCCTGTCTAGCACATATGGTACACAGACACTGGCCAGGTGGGGCTTCTCGGGCTTATTCAGAATTTTCCATCTCAATGCCCAAGTCCTTACTTGGGACTCAAAAGAACCTCTGGGAGAAGTCTGGGGAGCACATGCCTTAAATAGCAATTAGGGGACACATTTGCATGCACACCTCTCCCCTCTCTGATTCTAGCTGGTGATTGAAGAAGTCAGCATTAAAACATCCCCATTTACGTCTTTCCATTCTTCTTCAATCTAAGAAAGAAACAAACAGTTTGTGCAGGGCAGGTGAGTGGGCAGAGATGGAAGGGAATCTGAGAGGGAGAGATTGATGCTGAGTCAGAAAAAGGGAAGAAGAATAATATTGAAAACTGAATTTTAGAAATGCAAACCTGGGGATTCACTGGCAGGAAATTACCTGACTTTGATGGTGTAGTAATTTGGGGGAAGGAAAGGAAAATAGTTTTCCAACCTGAATTGCTTTAGAGAAACTAGGGTTAGGGTAGCTATTTGATGAGTAGTTATTGGAGTGAATGTGAGGAGGCATCCAGAGAGGGGTACAGTAACTAGCCAGTCCACGCAGATCTAAGCTTCAGGAATCTGGGACCAAGACTGAAGGAGCAAACACACTTCCCCAGGCACATGGGGGACACCAGGGTTTCTGTCCCATGCAGAGGGTTGTCTTGCGCAAAGTAACCCTGAGTAGATGTTAATGAACTGAATTGAAACCATTGTTCTATTGTCTCAAAGAATGATTTAAAGGAAAAAATAATGGGCTCTTCGATGTGGTCTTCGAGGGAAACTATCTCTTCTGCTCTGAGATGATCAGCACTCTCCTCACATCCACCCACCAGAAAATTTGCACGGCCATTTGATCACATCTTTGTGGTGCAGACAGAGTTTTCACATCCAGGGTGTGGTCTGTGCTTTTGCTTTCCACTTGCAGACCTTTGTGAAATGCTCTGTCTTGAGCTGCATTTACATCCTTCAGAATGCAAAAGAACTCTGCCTCTTTCTCATATTCAGAGCGTAGGAAGAACTAAAGAAGTCGCAGCAAGGCAGAGGGGAAGCCCTCAGTGACTGCTAACTGAGGATTCTGCTGCAGCCCAGGGAGATGCTGAGAAAGGGTGAGTCCCAATAAGAAATATTTAACATCAGCCCTGAAATGTCAACAAGGTCACAGGTATACTCCAGAGTTGAAGAAAATGAGTAATCAGGAAAAAAAAAAAAAAAAAAAAAAAAAAAACCTACCTGATGGGATAATAGCCAAAGCTCTTGGGAAGAACAAATATTTGTGTTTTTTTTTCTAAAGAGGGTTTATTTTATCTATTTTGAAAGGCAGATTTATACACAGAGAGAAAGGGAGAGGGAAAGAGAGGGAGAGAGAGGAAGAGAGAGATCTTCCATCTGCTGGTTCACTTCACTTTCCAAATGGCTGCAGCTGCTGGGGCTGGGCCAGGCTGAAGCCAGGAGCCAGGAGCTACTCAGTTCGCCATGCGGGTGATCGTCAGACGCTGTCAGATCTCTGCTGCTTTCCCAGGCACTCTAGAGGGGAGGTGGATTGGAAGTGGAGTAGCCGGACTTGAACTAGTGCTGTATGGAATGCTGGCATCTGCTTAACCTGCTGCATCACAGTGCTGGCCTCTGTGTTCTCTTTAAAATTCATTTATTTTTAATTAGTTTGCTAGGGGACTCTGAAAGAGCCCCTCCTCTAGGTAGAAGGTTGTTTAAATTACAGAAATGTAAATTGCCTAATGAAAGCAAATTGAGGGCTCTTTCCCTAGCAGAAATTAAGGAGTTGTGTGAATGATCAGGTAGCTCGGTTAAATTTTAAGGTCAGTGATTTAAAGTTTGGGTCTTTATCGATTGATGCTCTGCTCCTACATGAGCCTGTGGGTTACATGAATTTGCTGCTTGGGAACATTAGTGTTGGGGTTGGGAAGGATGGATTACTCTTCTTTTCTTTTTTTACTTGACAGATAGAGTTAGACAGAGAGAGAGAGAGAGAGAAAAGTCTTCCTTCCGTTGGCTCACCCCCAAATGGCCACCATGGCCGGAGCTATGCCAATCCGAAGCCAGGAGCCAGGTGCTTCTTCCTGGTCTCCCACGAGAGTGCAGGCGCCCAATCACTTGGGCCATCCTCCACTACCTTCCCAGGCCACAGCAGAGAGGTGTCCTGGAAGAGGAGCAACCGGGACTAGAACCTGGTGCCCATATGGGATGCCCACACCGAAGACAGAGGATTAACCAAGTGAGCCACAGCGCCGGCCGGGAAGGATGGCTTTCAAATCTTAACCACTGGCCATTTCCATCAGTTTGTCCATTTACCTAGAGGAGATTTCCATCAACTGGTTTCCAGAGGAGCCTTTTGATTCTGGCTACTTCCATGTGCTCAAAGTAGCCAAGAAGGTGGAGATGACTCAGTTTCTTTCTCCTTTGTCTCAAGGCTTCCCTCTAATGTGTGTCCAAAGTGCCGACTTTCAGCAGGGAGGGTAGCCAGCCAGGCCATCTCTACCCCTAGAAGCTCACAGCCCACTGGAGAAACTAAACAGGCCTTCAAAGGTTTGTGCAAAATGCAGTCTATGAAAAACCCATGCATGGATTTAAAAATCCATTGTACTGAAGTAAATTTGTCTTTCATGTTCATTTCCGCAAACGTTATAAAATACTTGTGTATATACTCTTCATGGAAGTACAGCCAATTTTATCCTTCAGATAAAAATTCAGTGCTGACTCCGACTGCAGCCAATGTACACAGAATCCATTCCTGTTGGAGAGTTTTTCTCTATGATTCCTGGAGCAGGTTTTACACGGAAAGAGCTCCACCCCCCCAACCCCCCCACCAGCAGCAACTGTATAGCCTGGGGAAGACCTTGATTGGCAGGTTTGTTGGCTCTGGAGTGTATGAATCCAGATACTCTGTCAGCATGATGTCCTCTCATACTCACTTTTCCAGTCCCCATGTGGCTCTGCCCTCTGCACTGTCTTTCTAGGTGAGTTTGCGCTTTCACCCATCGCTTGGCTGCACTGACCCTGCGTCCACACATTGATTACCCAACTCAAAATATTACCTTAATCAGAAACTGTGAACCAACAGGATGCTCATTCAGTCATTCAGCAAATATTAATTTTAGTGCCAGACACTGTTTTAGTCACCACGTTCAAGGACAAAAATCATAATGATTTATTGTGAAACATCACATTGTAACCCATAATTAGGTACAATCACTATTTTATTTATTTATTTATTTATTTATTTATTTATTTATTATTTGACAGATAGAGTTAGACAGTGTGAGAAAGAGACAGAGAGAAAGGTCTTCCTTCCGTTGGTTCACTCCCCAGTTGGCCGCAACGGCCGGAGCTGCGCCAGGAGCCAGGAGCTTTTTCCAGGTCTCCCATGCAGGTGCAGGGGCCCAAGGATGTGAACCATCTTCCACTGCTTTCCCAGGACATAGCAGAGAGGTGGATTGGAATTAGAGCAACCGGGACTAGAACCGGCGTCCAAATGGGATGCGAGCGCTTCAGGCCAGGGCGTTAACCCACTGTGCCACAGTGCTGGCCCCAGGTACAATCACTATTAATCAAAAACTACTGTGTTAAGTTTAAGGAAACGGACATGCTAAGTAACCTACTTGGTCTCCAAGCATTGACTACATGTATCAGATTGTCACATTTCATTCTCATAAATAGGAGCAATTAAAATAATAATCTTTAAAAATATTAAAAAGGAACATGAAGATGGAGTGGTATTGGTTCAGGGCACTTAGGATGGAATTGGGAAGCCAGCGTTAAACCAGATTTTAGACGTGTCCGCAGTTGAGTTCTGAAGCAAGCTGCCTGCGTGTTTCTTCTCAGATGAACTGACCTTTACACTGGGCTGAACCACAGTTCACTACTCTTGTTAACCATTTGTAAAACCTCCCTGCTTTCCTGATATTACATAGAGATGGAGACAATACCTTGTCTTGCAAGACAATTTAACTCTTGCAGTACCAAATATAGTTCCCATCACCTCCTTTGTGGTCTTGAGCTTTACACACAGCCAACATCTTGTAAGACCTTGAAGTGTGTTTTCAAGGCTGCTTGAATCTGTTTTCCCAGATGGCAATCCTAGTTAACCCTAAATAAATGTAATTTTCTTTGTTATGGACTAGGTTGATTTTTATCCAAGGTCAACACTATGGATACAGCAATAAGTCATCCCTGACCTCAGGGAGTTTATATAACTAAGGTGGTAAACGGATAATACAAATACAGTGGTCCATCCTTATTTGAGGCTTTATCTTCCTTGGTTTATTACTTATGGTTGCCCAAGGCCTGAACATACAAAATGGAAAATTCCAGAAATAAGTCATTCCTAAGTTTTAAATTGTGTACCTTTCTAAGTAGCACAAGGAATTCTCATGCCATCTTGTTCTAGCCTGCCCAGAAGTGACTCATCTCCTTATATCCACACTGTATACTCGACCCACCCAATAATCACTTAGTAGTCATCTCAGATATCAATCAGATTAACTATTGTTTACATAAATGGGTGTAAGTGGGGATTAAAAAAAAATAAGGCCTCTGGCCTGGTGCACAGTACTTAGAGAATAAGAAGGAAAATGAAGGAGCATGGGATTGCTTTGATAGCCCATGGCTTGGCCCTCGTGACCTCTTTGGCTCTTTTCCCCCAGGTCTTTATGCCACGTGTCCACATTCAGCTCATTCTTCAACGTCCAGGCCCCGGATCACCTCTTCCTCAGAATTTTCCCAGAAGCCCAATCCAAACCCCTCTCCCTCCTGCAAGCAGGGATTCTGCAGAGCGTCATGCAGCTGATCCTGTCCTTCACTTATGGGTTCTTGTTCTCCCAGGCAGGGCTTCACTCTCTGACAGCCTTCAGTAACCTGACCTTGTTGTGCACCCTTCTTATTCTGGTATATGGTTAAGGCATTGAAAGTGTAAGTCCATGTCAATCAAATAGTTAGAAAGACAGATGGCAAAACACTAGAAGGCAACTTAATTATCCCTTTAAAGAAGGAAAGAACAGCAGAAAAAAATCTGCACCACTACTGAACCAGAGGTTCTCTTTAGCTGTAGAAATTAAATAACCGAAGAAACAGGAGACATAGCACTATAAATAATGAAGATTAAACCTTGTAAGACCTTGCACTGAATTATGCAATTACGAAATTCACTTGCACTGACTTATGCAATTATGAAACTGAGTTAAAATATTTTATGACAGTAATATTAATCTTCATTTTATTCAGTCATTGGAAAACTGTTGATGGAGCATCTTGATGTGTTGGACATTATTCCAGTGTTAGGAACAGCTGCAGACAAACTGAATTGAGTCTCTGCTCTGGAGGGACTCACATTCCATTAACAAGACAGAAAAATAGATATCAGGTAGTGATAAGTACTCTGAAGAAAAGCAATTACAGTTCAGGGAAAGGGAATGGTAGCAAGTGAAAAAGCAAAGGTGGTGTTTAAGATAAAGCAATCAGCATTAGCAAGGGCTGATGTTATCAAAGTAGCTATACATTGCATGTAAAAGAGTCTTGGGCATACCTTCAATTTTTTTTTATTTATTTATTTGAAAGATTTACACAGAAAGAGGAGAGAAAGAGGGAGAGAGAGATCTTCCATCCGCTGGTTCACTCCCCAATTGCTGCAACATTCGGAGCTGCGTCCATCTGAAGCCAGGAACTTCCTCCAGGTATCCCATGCGGGTGCAGGGGCCCAAGGACTTGGGCCATCTTCTACTTCTTTCCCAGGCCATAGCAGAGAGCTGGATTGGTAGTGGAGCAGCCGGGTCTCAAACTGGTGTCTCAGGCCAGGACGTTATCCTGCTGGGCCACAGAGCCAGCCCATCCTTCAATTTTTCAATTCTTCCATCTTTGAAGTTAAGGTTGAATTGCATAGTGTGAAAGCCCTGGAAGCCAATTCTATTAAATGAGATAAGTGATCAAATTGTTTAGCTCTGGTCAGGGTCAAAATAATGCAAGACTATAAAGTGATAAGTTTACTGCATAGCTCATAAACTATCTTTGGAGAAGATATGTAAAAGGAATTTCAAAAATGCTTTGAGTGTCTGACATAGAATAAGTGTTTTAATAAATGAAACAATGTGTTTCAATAAATGGATAATCTGAACATCACTATCTACAGTCTCCCAAGATGGCTGCTTTGAAGTCAAGAATATTACTTTGAACCCTGCCTACTTTTTTTTTTAATAGTCACATTAGCTTGTAAACACATCCCAAGCCCTGCTAAGAGTATATTCAATTATAATTTAAATGCTTTTAATGAAAGTCTGTCATAAAAATTCCAGAATAAAGATCAAATGCAATATGGTCTTCAAAGAGAGTTTAAAAGTTTAAAGCAGAATTCATTCTGAATACAACAGATAACACTCCAAATTGTAAATGTTGTTTTTATTTAAAAGTTAAGTATGGGAAATAAAAGCATATGGTCCCTTTAAAAACAATTTGTGATGGTGGATTTTGGCAGAAGCCTTGCCATTAACTATTGGGAAAATTCAGAGTCAGTATAAATAGATTAGGTTGAAAAAAACAACTCCTGATGGGAGAGAACAGTCCCTATGTTTGGAGATTCCACTCATTTGTTTTGCTGTGTGAAGGCAGCACACAACTTTTAGCCAAACAGGTCTTACATTGAAATCCCAAGGTTGCTGTTCATTAGTTGTGTACCTAACACAAACCCTCAACCTCCCTGAGTATCAGTTTTGTCATCTACAAAAATGTTATTGTTTGTTTTTTATACACATAATTGGGTTACCTTTTTCCTAAAGGTGATTTTGTTACTGTGCATGATGATTTCGGTAACAGAAAATCCACATACAACTGAACTAAACAATAAGGAATATGTCAGTTAACACAATTGAGATATCCTAAAGTAGGTTGGGTTGCTTTGCTCCAGAATTTTGTTATTATGGTGATATACACATAACATAAAATTTCCCATTAAGTGCATAGCTCAGTGGTATTAAGCATATTAGCTTTGCTGTGAAACCATTACCACTGTTCATGTCCTGGACTTTTCATGATCCCAAAATGAAACTCAAGAACTATTAAATAATAACTCTCAGTTTGCTGCCTTCCTTCGTGCCTGGTAACCACTGTACTACTTTCTGTTTCATTAAATTTGACTGTGAATGCTTATTTTTAATACTGAGCTAATTATACCTGCACAAGAGGCAAAAGGCCTTAGGCTGGAAACAACATTGCAAGGAACTCAAGGGTCAGACAGAGATGCCAAGTCCCTAACACAAACAGAAATGATCCAAAAATTGCAAGAGATTCGCCAGCTAAATATTGCTGTGTCAATTTGTCACGCAATTAGAGCCCTGAGTGGTGCATATGCTTGGAGTCTCCTGCTGGCTCCCACCTCTATGGCAGTCTTCCAGTTGGTCTTTTGACTATCAGACTCAAGCTGTCCAGTTCATCCTGCAAATGACCATCACTATCATTTTCTTAAAATATCTGTGCTACTTTCCTGCTGAAAATTCTTCAAGTTTCCCCATGCCCTCAAGTCATATTTCAGCATCTTAATGAGAGATCCATGAGGTCTTCCCTGGTCTGTTCCACTTGCACCAAATCATCTTCCCCACCCCTGTGCGTGCCTACTCTGAAAACTAGCTTTCTCATCATTCCTATAGTGTAACGTTCTTCTCTCTCACGTCTTCACATTCATGCTTGTAATAGTCCATCTAACTAGAAAACCTATCCTACTTCACTCTGCATCAGTCTGCCTAACACTCATTCACCCAACAGCACTCCAGGCAAATTTCATATTGTATAACTTGGGAAGAATATTATGACCTTTAGTCAACCAGATTGAAGTCCCCTTTCCTGTATTTCTGTAAAAATCTATGGGCTCCACTTTTTAGTGTGCACCATTTCCAGTCTGTTCTCTGATCCTAAACATGAAGCGATTTGAAAGCAAGGACTATGTCCTCAGAACCTAGCTTAGCGATCAACAGATTAGTAAACTCCCAATTACAGTCTGTTGAATGAATGAATTATGTAGCATAGCATGCCAACCCACAGGTTTTTTATGCAAAGTAAGGTTTCAGAATAAACAGAATGGTTTGGTATTTTAGTCAGAAAAGGAAAAATTATTATATTATCAAATATAAATGTGTGGAGGCCGGTGCCGTGGCTCACTTGGTTAATCCTCTGCCTGTGGCGCTGGCATCCCATATGGGTGCCGGTTATAGTCCTGGTTGCTCCTCTTCCAGGACAGCTCTCTCCTGTGGCCCGGGAGGGCAGTGGAGGATGGCCCAAGTGCTTGGGCCCCTGCACCCACATGGAAGACCAGGAAGAAGCACCTGGCTCCTGGCTTCAGATTGGCATAGCTCCAGCTGTAGCGGCCATTTGGGGGGTGAACCAACAGAAGGAAGACCTTTCTCTCTGTCTCTCTCTCTCTCACTGTCTAACTCTATCTATCAAATGAAAAATATATATATATAAATGTGTGAATCTCTGATTAGTTCTAGGTATTTGTCTTCTTTAAACTCACCCCAAGTATAGCATTATTTAAGGGTGTGTGTGTATATATATATACATATATTTATGTATATACATGAATATAAATAAATATACATTCATACACATACATATTATAAAAATTGTGGTATCTGTAAGGTTCATACTTAGCATTGAAATGATCTCACATTTGCAAGGAATAGTTTTCCTTATCAATGGACATAGTTTTTACTTGGTGGTCCCTTCCACAGTTCTTTCACACATGTATCGGATAGCCAAGTAGATATTGTGAAATGGCATAGTGTGATTCCCAAGGCTAGCCTGAAAAGACATTGTGACTTTTGCTTCCATAAGAAGGGAAAGCAGAGCCCAGTGGTTCTGCTTCCAATTAAAGAGCAGCTTAACAGCATGATTTGGAAACTGACAAGCAGCAATTCCATTAACTAAGAGTTTTAACAACTCAATTATAAAAAGTTTGCCTGAGTCCAAACTTGGAATAAGATGGAAAGAATTTGTTTTTACTGTATTGGACCTTAATTAACCTGGCTGTACATACAATTTTGTTTGTAAAGAGCAGGAAAAAGATTGTGGTTTTAATTTTATTTTAAAAACAAAATAGCATTTTATTTTTAAAAGATTGTGGCTTTAATTTTATTTTTAATTTAATGGTGTCTCAAAATAGATGGCCATGAAAACACAACACACATACACTTATTCATGGTGAGCTAGTATGTCTGAATTATCAAGATTTCTGTATGAGTAAGTGACTATATATAGAAATATAACATAAAACAGCATTTTAAATACAGAGGCTATTTTAAAAAGTCTTTTGAAAGAAATTATTTTATTATGTGCAAGTGGATAATACCCACGTGGCTTACAGACATGACATAAGTAGTTGATATTTGAAACTGTTTACTCTGTAGCTATTTAGAGACTGACAATCAGACTGATGCTTTAAATAATCAATTTCTCTCCTGTGTTTTCAACTCTAATAGAACCAGTTAAAGGTTCATCCATGTATTCAAATTCAACAGACTGGATTGAAAAAAATAATCCAGTTGGCTTTTTTCTCCCTTCTCGTTCCTGTGTTTCCCAACATCCTTTCGGACACCCTTTCACATACTATAGAACGTTTCAGCTTACTCTAGAATGCTATAAATATCAGAGCTGTTCAAAGATGAAGAGAGATGCTTGGCGAGGCAGCAGGATCCCTGTTAGAGAAAGCATTTAAAATAGGGCTTAGAGGTTCATTTTGGCAAAGAATTGCAGCATTAGGTGAGTTGCTAAAGTAGGTGAATGTTTAACCTTTTTTTTTTAATGGGAAAGAGTACACTTTACTGGGAAGCAGAGTGAGCAGTGACCAAAGGACACCTCATACTCAAAAAAAAAAAAAAAATACACAGGATATTTGCTAATAAAACTCCACTGGAACATGGGCAGCTCCGCATCTGCACCTCCCTTCAGGATTGGGGACTCTCCAGCCATTATCCCAAAGGCAGCTGTGATCCACAAGAGATAGAGCCCCTCGGTGGTGCCTTTTTATGTTTATACAGAACATTCCTTTTATGTGTTACCATCCATTATTTTCATTCTGCTTTCTCTCAAGGCCATCAGACCAGCTTCTGTACAAATTGCCTTGATGTCAGCACCAAGGAAAGATTGTCTTTAGCTGTGACCACGTCATCCAGGGTTGCATCATCAGCTGGTGACATCCTGCTCTGTGAATCTGAAAGATGCACTTCTTAGTCTTTTCATCAGGCAGGGAGAGCTGGATCTTTCTGTCCATGCAGGCTGCTCTGTTTCTTTCTATTCGTTTGTGACCCTAACAACTTTCATGTCTCCTCTTGTATCAGATCAACCCAGCTGGTTCAACAATTCCAGCACTGGTCACTGGATTTCTCTCTGCCATATCTTTCTGTCTCAATAGCATCAGTTTCATCAGTAAACACAATGGATGGTGGATGTTCCTCAGCAATGTGAAACAGTTCCTGGATGAGCTTGGGCCCACCCCCTAGGTACTTCTGAATAAGTTCAGAGTCAACCACTCTCAAGAAAGTGGCTGAGGTTTGGTGTACCACTGCTGTGACCAACAAGGTTTTACCTGTGCCAGGCGGACCACAGAGAATGACCCCACTGGGGAGCTTTATCCTCATCTCTTTGTAATAGTCTGTGTAGGTGAGAGAAAGCTCCAGATTCCTTAATATCCTGGATTTGGTTGCCCAATCCCTCAGTATCAGCATAGATCTCTGAGGGCCCTTTTCCACATTCATCACTGCAGCAAATGGGATCTGTGTGCCCATCAACACCCCATCACGCCATGCTCCTTGTGGCTGAGCAACACTGAGCAGCCTCGTCCCAGCAGACCCTTGTCCATAAAGGAAAGGAGGTTGACACAGTGTCCTGACCCCATGGATGTTGACACCATGGTGTGGTTATCATTGGTGATCTCTTCCGAGGCTCCTACTGACATAGGGGTTTCTCTCAGGTCCTCCATGTTTGATTTTTTCTCCTCTTGCTTTTCTCCTAATAATTTGATTTGTTCCTGGTTTCTAATGAATTCTCCCTCCATGGGGAGATAGTCTTAATTCTCTCCAACTTCAATAATTTTAGCCAGCACTGAGCATGTGGTGTCACCAGTGGCAGTTTGGTGGCAGCATCTGGTGCCCTTGTTTTCTTCTTCTCTTTCCCCACTCAGGTTGGCACAGGAGGTTCCTATTTCTTTTTCTTGTCCTTATCATCCTTCTTGCCACCCTGAGGACCACGGTCACCACTCTGACTTTGATCCACCTAGACTCTGCTGCTCAAACCATCGCTGCCAGAAATGCATCACCTCTACTGCCCAGCAGAAGCAGAAGTTAGGTATGTTTGACCTCGAATATTCTAGGAGTCTGTGTTTACCCTAATTGCTAGGTATGAATTGATGCAATAATTGCTCTGGCTTCCTTTTGAGAAAAAAAATCACTTGAAACAGCTGTTAGCAGACTTATCATCTAATGGCATAAAGTGGAGGAAGCAAGTGTCATCATAACAGAAAAAATATTTACTGATAAACTGCCCACTTACAAAAGTAATTGTAAATATTTACACAGAAATCTTGTAGCACTTTCATCAAGAAAGAAATAATCAAGAGCTGCTACGAATCACATGCAAAGATATCACCAAATGTTCCTGGCAGAAGAGAATAGCAGCAAGAATGAAAAGATGATTTGATATCAACAGATTAAAATAAGTTTTTCAGAAAACTGATGAAGCCTTTGAATAGGCCTAAAATGTGATCCTGATTGGGATTATGCTGTAAAAATTCAGCTGTGAAATAATGGATAGTGGGTCATGTTCTCATGCTATTTTATTAGGCAACTTTACTGTCTCCCAAATCAGCAGCTGAGTCATCCTTTCATCAACCTAAGAATTTAGTGCACATTTCCAATACCATTAAATTCATTAAGCATAAAATAAAATAAACTTTTCATATTTATTGCTCATATTTCATGATAAGATTTCAAACTTTAAACTATTTTCTATGGCATTCAAGTCTTGTGATGGGTCAACTTAATTTTTTAAATATTTTTTTTCAGATCCTTGAAAAGCTGAAGAGAGAGAGAGAGAGAGAGAGAATGAATTTCCAATCTGCTGTTTCATTCCTCAAATGCCTGCAACGGTCAGTGCTGGGCAAGGCTGAATCCAGAAGCCCAAAACTCCATTTGATTTTTCCACATGGATGGCAGGGGCCTAAGATCTCAAGTCATTGTCTGCTGTTTTTTGGGATGCAGCAGCGGGAAGCTGGATCTGAAGCAGAGTAGCCTGGACTTGAACTGGCACTTGAAAATGAGATGTGGGTGTCACAAGCTGCAGCTTAACCCACTGCAGCAAAATACTGGCCCTGGCTTGGGTTAATTTTAACCCTTATCTCAGGATTAAATTACTGTTGCATAAGAAGAAACTTTCGCACTTTCAAAGACAGCCCTTTACAACAATCTGAAAGCAAAAATGGGAGAGGCATTATATTAATTCTTGAATTATTTAAACGTCCTCACCTTTCACAAATCCACAGCAAAACTAGCAGCTGCATGTAAACTTCCAGTGGGGGGAAGTATAAGCCTCTTGCATCAGCAGCTTCATAGAAATCTTAGCTAATTACATTAGTTAATGAAATTATTACTGTTGCATTAATTACATTATTACATTAATTACTTAGCATTAATGTAATGTGTTATTATGTATGTTAGAAAGTATCTCGATTTTGCTCATTAAATGCAATTATGGGTGACTAGGGGTCATATTTTGGGGAAATTCAACATACATAGAGTAGGGTATTTACCCCTAAGCTAGATCTGGGCCAGGTCTCCCTGTGATCTCTTCTGTGTGAACTCTGACCTGGCCTCTTGATCTGCCTCTAGAGCTTTGGAGTCTAGCATATGTGTTTGAGGAGATTAACTTGAATCAAATTCTCTTTCTATAATTCTCAGAAGTATCATCTAGGGTTCTTAAAGTAAATCTCACCCTACTCCATACTCCAGCTTAATGGTGTGTGATTTACCAAGAGAAAGGGCCCCAGATACACTCAACCTCCAGTTTAGTAGAAGCCAATGTAGTTCCCCACTACTCAGAGAGACGTGGGTGGTCATGAAATCCTGGGGCTGAGGTGAAGGCTTAGGTCTTATCATAATTGAGCTAGAACTTTGGAGCAGTCACAAGAATAGAACAGAGTTCAAAGACCAGCCCTAGATGCCAGGCAGCCTTTGAAAACCTTCTTGGCACCTTTCTTGCCCTTTATGGAATTCACTGCTCCAATCTTGCCTACAAAGATGCTGACTTTGTGACCATGGCAGCAAGGTGAAGCTTTGGAAGAACAGGCCCTGAGGTTCCATTCCCCTTCCTGGGAGCTCTTCACAAATTCGTTCTCACTGGGAGAAAGGGCTTAACCTCTGGCTGCCTCCATTTATTATATAATCTGTTCATCACTGAGAGTCCAAACCTAGGAGCTGGTTGCTTATTTGGAGCAAGAGAGTTTGAAATCCTGTACTTTGAATTCTTTAAAAGCTCATCTGAGTAGTTTGGTGTCATTTCCCTCTATACTGATAAATTCATGCCAGATGTTTTTATTTGATGTGATAACTTTTGTATGAGGTAATAGGACAAAGTCTTCAGCTACCCATCTTGGCTCCTACTTAATTTGTTCTCCTTGCCTGAGGAGTAAGTAGTCCATTTCCATGTTTGCCACTGGCTCTAAACAATTGCAGCACAAGCCCTGGGAGTTGCTCTGTGGGACATACCAAGACAGTGTCTCACACTCCCTGGAGTGCATCTTGGAAATGTGATGAAGTTCAGAAATATGTAGACCCTGCTATCTGTTTTAGTCATTCAGACACCATGTGAGGGCTGGCAAAAAAGTGTTCTTATTCCCCAAATATTCCCTGGCATGTATTTGTGTAGTAAAATTATGTTTTGGGCTTACAGTTAGGGTTTTGAAAATGAACATCTGTTATTATCTTTCAGTTTAGAAGTTCTGAATCCAGCTGGGCAGGGCCACTTGGCTCCTACCTCCATCTCAGTAGAGTTGCAAATGAAGCCTGTCACCCATCAGCTGCTTGTTGACTGGCTGACCAGCTGCCACTCATCTCCCACATCTGTTTTGGCTTTGAGAAGCCCAAGGGCTGGGGAGAGGGTCAGGGTCAGCTTGTTCTGTGCATGCAGCCCCTGGGAGATCCAGGAGCAGGGAGATTTTACAAAGCTGGTCTGATCCCCCCTGAGTGAATGTTAAAGGCATGGCCCTGGATGGGTGTGAAGCAGGCAGAGGGTCTGGCACTTAGCTTGTAGGATGATAAGCCAGAGTAGCTTAGTTTCAAAGCCATTGTTTTTACCACCTGGTGTCTTCCCTATTTCCATGAGATGATATTATAATATGATCTGTTCTAAGGCAAATGTAGTTACAAAGAGTGCTTCATTTCCACCAAGAAAATACAGTATTTGGCTCCAGTCTATGAGTTCCATATCATTCAGAGGAGGGAATAAATTTCCTGCATGTCTCAATATCACCAGTTACAAAAATACTTCAACTCCCTTAGACCACTCCAACAGAGACAGCTTCTGAACCCTGGATTTCAAGAGGGTCAAAAGAAAAGACTAAAAGCTCTCCAAACTCTTCAGCAAAATTCTATCTACAGTTATGATGATCCATCAGCATGCACTTGTAGATAACCGTCGCTGACTCACAGCCCCAGCTGTATTATTTTCTTGCTCAATAGCCTTTAATGGCTCACAGCTGTCAAAGATACAGCTTGCACTCATGGTCATTTATGGTCTGACCTCAAACCTCTTGTCCAAACTCTTATTACCAACTACTGCCATTAAAGCCTTTCACACTAACCAAATGCACCACATGCTGTCATTGCTGTCCCTTATTCTCACACTTCTGTGCTTTTTCTTATTGTTCCCTGATCTCAAATCCGAATACTTCCTCATTGTCCTGGCCCAGCTCAAATGCATCTGCTTTATAGTTTTCTCTGAGTCCATCCATTGGAGTGAGCCTTTGTCCTCTCTAAATACCTTACCCCATCCATTCAAAATACCTGTTGGTGCTTCTACCTAAAATTTCTGTTCATAGTGTTTTGTGCTCTACCTTCCTTCAAGAAGGGCAAACAGAATCTATGTCTAATTAATATTTCTACTTTCTCCAGGGCTTTTCAACTTGTACAAGTTGACAAATGTTTGTTATAAATATAGCAATACATTTTGTAGAGGGCTTTTGAATTTGCAAAGTGAATCCATGCTCATTACTTCACTTAATTCACATAAGTGAAAGTAGAAAGACAGGTGTTCTCTTTATTACAAATAAGAGGGAACATTTAGTCAGAATTGACTTTAACTTATTTATTAAACTATTATTTGCATTATTATGAATGTCTTTCTCTTCTGCCGTATTGTTAAACTCTGGGAAACTAAGAACCAATCTGTTTTTACACTGTTGTATTTTCAAAGCCTAGCACAGTGCTAGACATAGTGTAAAAACTCAGGAAACATTTGTTGAATGAGTGAATGAATGAACACTACGAGCTAAGCAGTCACTGAGTGTACTATATACACTACAGTAATTTTAATCTCACAGCACGTGTTACCTTCATTTCACGGTTGTGGAAATGTAGGCTCCAGGACATGTGTTGCTTTGCATGCAGCTGGAATTGAAACTCAGATCTTGTGATTATAGATAGCATATGTTTTTCCATTACACCACAAGCCTTACATGAGGTACCTTTATGTTGTTTTTGTTTTTTCCTAATTGCTTTATAATTCTATAAAAGAAGGAAATTTTCAAACATTACCTTAGTTCATTTTTAAAATATGTCTGTGTTCATTACAGACACCAGAGTTGCAAACCAGTGGTTAGGGTATTAATCCCCACCATCCAGTACAATAGTATCATTGTGGGAGGGAGCATGGGCATGCAGTCTTGGACGGGAGGGGATTATTTTCCCAAGGTTTCTCTGGCTCTATAGTCATTTGCTGTTTTCCTCTAAAAGAAAGAACTGTTTTGATCTAGAAGTCAAAAATTTTATTTGTATAGCAATTTATTTTATGCTAATTGGACCAGAGGAATACTCACTGTTACAAGTTGATGATTCACTTTGAAGAGAGGAGACAAATGTGAGCCAATTGATGTCATCACGCCAGGACTTCGTTTAGGTGAATAGCTGATGAGGTAGGTATCACTGTCACCTCTAGCTTAAAAGTTAAAAAAAAAAAAAGTATTCTGCTTTAACTGTGTCATGACCATTGTGATGAATCGCTCAGTCTACGGTGTGAATATCTCTGTCTTCCATAAAAAATGGTCTACATGTATATAACACCTACATTTGAAGTGAATGTGACAAAACTCATACAACCATTATGGAAGGCAGTGTGCAGATTCCTCAGAAATCTGAAAATACATCTACCATATGACTCAGTTATTCTGGGAATTTACCCAAAGGAAGTGAAATCAGCATATGAAAGAGTTATCTGTAACCCCCATGTTTGTTGCAGCTCAATTCACAATGGCTAAGAGATGGAATCAACCCAAATGTCCATCAACTGATGACTGAATGAAGAAATTGTGGTGGATTCCAAGATGGCTGAATAGGGAAAAGTGCTGATTTTGACCAGAGGAGATAACAGAAGAAAAGCAGAAGAGCATTTGTGGGGGAGAGATGGAGACAGGTTTGCAGTGGAAATTCTACAGAAAGAAGAGAGATGCTGTGGAGCAGCATGGAAAGTACAGACATTCATCAGCGAGCGGGGACAGCACCTGTGACTCCTGCGGCCAGGGGCTGGAGGAGACACCAGTTTCTAAAAACGAGGTGAGAGCAGACCATGGCAGCCAGTGTCACTGATGATGTTGCCTAAGGGAGAACCTTGTGGATCACACTGACTTGAGTCTGGCCTGGAGCCCTTATGGGGCACAGTGAAAGAAAAGCATATTTCTGTCTCCCCATAACCCAACAAGGGCACCTGGATACCAGCTGAGGGAAAGTGCTGGCTTAATGCCAGTAGAGGCTGCAGCTGCGCTCTCTCCTGTGAACAGGGGATTTTACCAGAGGGAAAAATCTGCCTTTCCATCTGACTTTGAGTCTGTCCTTGGGGATGGGCAGGGGGCTGGGCACCTACTTATGAATGTGAAGCACTTCCACCCACCCACATCACCCTATCGCAGGCTCCATTGCTCAAACTGCCAAGGTGGAGCACCTATGGCAGCTGATTGTGGGAAGGCCTCAGGTCTCTCAATGGACAGGGCGGGTACATGGGCTTGCGAGTGGATCTCTTATACCCTGTGACTGGGAGCCTTGGTGTACTATGATTGTGCGAGTTCTGTGACTGCATGATAGAGCATGGGGTATAGCTGGGCCTCTAGGCAATTATTCTGTCTAGCCTCAGGGGCTCAGAACTACCTGATTTCCTGGGTTGGGTCTTTGCAGAGGGTCCCATGCTCACACTGAGGACTACATAGTTCCTTTGGTGGCTCCTACACCTGCGTGGATGGGGGATTATAGCCACTGTGGGATAAACTCAGGCATTGATTGCCTTGGAAAAGAGGAGGTGAGGCTGTGATTATGCCAACAGATGTGATCACACTCTCTTCCACGCTGACAATAGAGGTGATCTATGCTGAAATTGAGTGTCACCTTGGATTCTCACCAAATCCTTGAGCACTGACCAGAGCTCCCTCAACTCACCGAGCACACACCTCTGGATATCCACTGAAGGAGCAGACACTCCAAAAACCCACAGAGACATAGTTCAAAGATAAAAGCCATCAGAGGAGAAAACCAAGTATTTCCAAAAATGCCTAAAAATAAACACAGAAAAACAAGAAACAAGGAAGACAATATGACTCCCCTAAAGAAAGATGAGAACAAGTTTGTGGACTCAAAAGGTTTCCATAGCCTTGGCAGCTCATGACTAGAGCTTTGGGTGATCACTGACATCATAAATAAGAGGGTCAATTATGAAATCAACAACAGGAGTCTCTGTGCACTTGCTTCCCATGTAGGACCTTTGTCCTTAATGAGTTGTACTATGAGAATTAATGGTAAAACTTATCTTCAAACAGTACTTTATACTTTGTGTGTCTGTGTAGCTGCACAATGTTGAAATCCTTACTTTGCATAGAGTTGATCTTATGTATATAAAGATAATTAAAAATGAATCTTAATGAAGAATGGGATGGGAGAGGGAGTAGTAGGTAAGATGGGAGTGGGGGTGGAAGGGCAAGTATGGGGAGAAGAACCTCTATATTCCAAAAGCTATACCTATGAAATTTATATTTATTAAATAAAAGATTTCTTAAAAAAAAGAAACATGACAACACTTCAATAATACAATGCAAGAATGAAGAGACTGATGAAATGCCTGAAAAGGAATTCAAAAGAATTATCATAAGTTTACTCAGAAACACAGATAAGCAAATTCATGAAGTAAAGAAATCATACATAATACAGATGAAAAATTTTGCCAAGCGAGATATGGAAGATAAATCAAACTGAAATGTTAGAAATGAAGAATTCAAATTGTCAAACAGAAAATTCAAGGGAAAGCCTCAACAACTGACTTAGTGAAGCTAAAGAAAGAATATCTGAGCTGGAAGACAAATCCTTAGAAATGTCTCAATCAGACATAAAAAAAAAGAAGAAAAAATTAGAAAAACTGGAAATAAGGTTCTTTTTTGGGATACTATCGAATGATCAAATATATGTGTCTCAGGTGTTCCTGAAAGTGTGGAAACAGAGAATGGATTATTAGGCCTATTAAGTGAAATAATAGCAGAAAAATTCCCTAATTTTAGGAAAGAAAGGGCCATCTAAGTAGAGGAAGTAGATAGAACACAGTACATAGTACACAGACACAATCAGGAAAAGACCATCACCACGACACATTTTGGTCAAACTTTCAATAGTGACACATAAACAAAAGATTCTAAAATGTGCATGGAAGAAATGCCAGGTTACCTTCAGAGCATTTCCAATTAGACTAACAGTTGAGTTCTCATCCCAGAATATTGTACCCAGCAAAGCTCTTATTTGTTAATGAAGGTGAAATAAAGACCTTCCAAAACAAACAGAAACTGAAAGAATTTGTCACCATTCATCCAGTCTTATAAATGATGCTCAAGGATATGCTACACACAGAAATACAGATAGTCATCATTATGAAAAAATGTGAAGGCAGAAAATCTCCTAGTCAAAGTAAAGTAAATCCAAAGCAAACAATAGGAATATTTATGGAAAAATGGCAGCACAAAATCATTGCTTATCAATAATAATCTTGCATATAAATGGTCTAAATTCTCTGATTAAATAAGATACAGACTGGATGAATGGATTAAAAATTAAGACCACCTATTTGCTGCCTACAACAAACACACCTCACTAAGAAAGATGCACACAGACTGAAAGTGAAAAGATAGAAAAAGATGCCCATGTTAATGGAAAGTAAAAACAGGCTTTTTTTTTTTTCAAACAAAATAGACTTTAACACAAAAACTATTCAAAGAGACAAAGACTACCATTATGTAATGATTAAGGGATCAATTCAACAGGAAAATGTGACTATCATAAATGTATATGTACCCAACTCCAGGGTGCCTGGCTATTTAAAACAAATGTTAATGGCTCTAAAGGGAGACATAGACTCTAATATGAAAGTAATGGGGAACTTCAACACCTCACTTTCATCAATGGACAGATTAATTAAACAAAACATCAGTGAAGAACTACACAAGGACCAAATTGACCTAACTGATATCTATAGAACATTTCATCCCACAGTTGCAGAATACACATTCTTTTCATTAGTCATGAAACTTTCTCTAGGATAGACCATTCGCTAGGCCATAAAGCATGTCTCAGCAAATTCAAAAAAATTCAAATCATGCCATGCATCTTTTCTGAACACAATATAATGAAGCTGGAAACTGACAATCTAAGAATCTCCAGAAAATATCTAAACACATAGAGACTGAACAACACTCTAATGAATGAACAGTGTGTCATAGAAGAAATCAAAAGGAAAATCAAAAAATTCCTGGAAACAAATAAAGATGATAATACAGTATATCAAAACTTAAGGGATACAGCAAAAACAGTATTAAGAGGAAAGTTTCTAGCAATTAGTGCCTACATCAAGAAATTGGAAATGCATCAAATAAAGAGCTAATAATGCAGCTCGAGGTCCTGTAAAAATAACAACAAACCAAACCCAAAATTAGCAGGGGGAAAGAAACAGTTAAAATTAGAAAAGAAATTTAAAAATTGAAGTCAAAAAGTGATACAAAAGATCAATGAGAGGAAGAGCTGTTTTTTTAGAAAAATAAACAAAATTGATACACCATTGGCCCAACTAACCCCCCCCAAAAGGAAAGACCAAATCAATAAAATCAGATATGAAAAAGGAGATGTAATACATATACTACAGAAATAAAAAGAATCATCAGGAATTACTACAAATGGCTGTGTGCCAACAAATTGGAAAACCTAGCAAAAATGGGTGGATTCCTGGACACATACAATCTGCCAAAAATTGAGTCATGAAGACATTGAAAACCTAAACAGACCAATAACCAAGACAGAGATTGAATCAGTAATAAAGACCCTCTGAACAAAGAAAAGTCCAGGACCAGATAGCTTCATTGCTGAATTCCATCAGACTTTTAAAGAACTCATTATAATTCTTCTTGAACATTTCAAAACAATTAAAAAGGATGGAATCCTCCCAAACTTGTTCTGTGAGGCCAGCATCACCTTAATTCCAAAACCAGAAAAGGAAACAACAAAGGAAGAGAACTATAGACCAATATCACTAATGAACATAGAAGCAAAAAATTTTTCAACTTAATACTAGGTAGTCAAATCCAAAACACTTCAGACACATTATTCACTATGGATCATGTGGATTTATCCCTGGTATGCAGGGATGTTTCAACATTCACAAATCAATAAAGGTGATACATCACATTAAAAAATTGAAGAATGGGCTTTTCATGCCTGAAAAGCCCATGAGAGTATTTCAGGCATGGAAAGCCAAGACACTCTGGAAAAAAAAAAAAAAAAAAAAACCTAAATGAAAGATCTCTGTGAGTGAGATCCCAGTGGAAAGAACAGGTCTTCAAAGAAGGAGGTACCTTTCTCTGAAGGGAGGAGAGAACCTCCACTTTGAATATGACCTTGTCTAAACAAGATAAGAGTTGGTGAACTCAAAAGGCTTCCATAGCCTTGGAAACTCATGACTGGTGCATAGGGAGATTACTGATGCCATAAACAGGAGTGTCAATTTGTAAAGTCAACAACAGGAGTCACTGTGCACTTACTCCTCATGTAGGATCTCTGTCCTTAATGTGCTGTACATTGAGACTTAATGCTATAATGAGTACTCAAACAGTATATTTTGCTTTGTGTTTCTATGGGGGGTGCAAACTGTTGAAATCTTTACTTAATGTATACTAAACTGATCTTCTGTAAAAAAAAAAAAAAAAAGAAGAAGAAATTATCAATTCCCAACTTGACTCTCATTGGGATTAAACATGACAATAGGTCTGATCTGATTTCATCATCATTTAAAAAATCATCTATTATTTTTCACTTTATGTTTGTGTGGGAGCAAACTGTTGAAATCCTTACTTAATGTATGCTAAACTGATCTTCTGTATATAAAGAGAATCGAAAATGAATCCTCATGTGAATGGAAGGGGAGAGGGAGTGGGAAAGGGGAGGGATGCGGGTGGGAGAGACGATATGGGGGGGAAGCCATTGTAATCCATAAGCTGTACTTTGGAAATTTATATTCATTAAATAAAAGTTAAAAAAAAATTGAAGAATGAAAACCATATCATTAACTCAATAGATGCAGAGAAAGCATTTGATAAAACACAACACCTTTCATGATGAAAACTGTGAGCAAATTGGGTATAGAAGGAACATTCCTCAACACAATCAAGGCAATCTATTACAAACTCACTGCTAGCATCATATTGAATGGAGAAAGGTTAGAAGCATTTCCAACAAGATCTGGAACCAGACAAGGATGCCCACTCTCCTTAGTGCTATTCAATACAGTCCTGGAAGTTTTAGCCACCATAATTAGGTAAGAAAAAAAAATCAAAGGGGTACAAATTGGAAAGTAGAAATTCAAATGATCTTATTTGTAGATGACATGATTCTATACACAGGGAAACAAAGACTCCACTGAGAGTCTATTAGAACTCACAAGAGAACTTGGTAAAGTTGCAGGATATAAAATCAACACCCCAAAATCAATATCCTTTGTATACACAGACAATGCCATGGCCGAGAAAGAACTTATAAGGTCAGTAATGTTCACAAAAGCTACAAAAAATTGAATACCTTGGAATAAATATAACCAAGAAGATGCGAATGATCTATAATGAAAATGACAAAACATTAAAAAAAAAAAGAAATAGAAGAAGATACAAAAAAATGGAAACATCTTCCATGGTCATGGATTAGAAGAATTAATATAATCAAAATGTCCATACTACTGAAAGCAATTTACAGATCAATACAATCCCAATCAACATACCAATGACACTCCTTTCAGATCTAGAAAAAATGATGCTAATATTCATATGGGAACACAAGAGACCCTGAATAGCAAAAGCAATTTTGAATGCCAAAAGCAAACTGGAGCATCACAATACCAGACATGAAGACATACTACAGGGAAATTATAATCAAAACAGCCTGGTACTGGCATGTGCATGTTTCCATGTGATTTCTAAGTGGAACATAGTTTATTCCTGCTAGGAAGCTTAGTTTATCTTTTTGTTTTTGAAGCTTTATTTATTTATTTGAGAGGCAGAGTTACAAAGAAAGAGAGAGAGAGAGAGAGAGGTCTTCCATCCGCTGGTTCACTCCCCAAATGGCCACAACGGCCAGAACTAGGCTGATCTGAAGCTAGGACCCAGGAGCTTCCTCCAGGTCTCCATACAGGTGCAGGGACCCAAGGAGTTGGACCCTCTTCCACTGCTTTCCCAGGCCATCAGAGCAGCTGGATGGGAAGTGGAGCAGCCAAGACGCAAACTGGCACCTGGGATGCCAGGACCACAGACAGAGGCTTAACCCACTGTGCCACAGAGTCGGCCCCAGTTTTGTTTATCTTCACAACCTACCATGTAATTACACCTTTGATATTTACTGTGGCTATAGTCACAACAGGTTTTCCTTTATGCAGACCTCAACTACGAAATGACTGAGAAGCAGCAGATATTAGTCCTTCACAAAATACATTGGATCAGAACAGAAGATCTCCAGGTTAAAGCTTGTGCTTTAATATCATTCCCATGAAGCCTTTGCGGTATCACAGCATGTTCCGGTCATTGTGATCGGATTTAAAGAAAGCTTTTAAAACCATGGCAGATTAGCAGCATCTAGTCATCCTTGAATGAAAGCATTATTTTCGAAATGTGATCCAAAACTGACATCACACAGAGTCATCTGCAGACATTTCTGCTCCTGTGGTTACTCTTGTGGTGCAAAATATTTATGTGAACAGATTTTTCCATAAAAGGAATATTAAAAAGATATTCTCATATGTCTCCTTTTTACTGTCTTTACAGCCTTACTTCAGAAGGGTTGCCAGGCACTTTCACAGCAAGGACCCCTTGGAAGAAACATCCACAAAGGAAATACAGGACAGTTAATTGCCAAATCTAGTCCGGCGCCGCGGCTCACTAGGCTAATCCTTCGCCTGCGGCGCCGGCACCCCGGCTTCTAGCCCTGGTTGGGGCACTGGATTCTGCCTGGGTGCTCCTCTTCCAGTCCAGCTCTCCGCTGCGGCCCGGGAAAGCAGTGGAGGATGGCCCAAGTGCTTGGGCCCTGCACCTGCATAGGAGACCAGGAGGAAGCACCTGGCTCCTGGCTTTGGATCGGTGCAGCACCGGTCGTAGCAGCCATTTGAGGGGTGAACCAACGGAAAAGGAAGACCTTTCTCTCTATCTCTGTCTCTGTCTCTCTCTCTCACTGTCTAACTCTGCCTGTCCAAAAAAAAAAAAAAATGCCAACTCTTAAATAATTTCAAAGTGCAGTTTCTAAATAGACTTTTCTAAATAACTGCATCGATTTAAGACGAAGCCGATGTACCTTCTCTGAAGTTAGAGTTGCAGTCTTTCCTTTGAGAGGTTGTTAAAGCTACAGGCATTCTCTGGGGTCTAGGTAGGTTCTAGAGAATTCCCAGGTCCAGAGAGATCAGCATCCTTCAAGAACCACAATGTAAGAGAAAGGGTCTTTGTTAACGCCTATGAATCTCTTTCACCTGCCCTGACACCTGCCTGTGATGAGAACAATTTCTTTTATTTTGACCTTTAGTTCTGACCCCTCAGGATTGACAGCTATCACAAACCATGGTGGGAACTGTGATTTCTCAATCATTAGGCTTAACATCACGCCACTTTAATTGTAAAGGTCTGATCTGCCTCCCATCCTTACTGCTCATCTTTAAACTCCAGGCCTTCCTTTACCTTTGAAAAATAACGGCAGCTTACTCTTTGTTCCAGGTTTGACACAGGAAGCTCATTCCTTCAGGTTTTGGCAAGATATACTCAAGTGAATGCATTATATAATGAACAGAGACAGCAATGTGGAGGAAAAGTAGCTGTCTGACTACAGCCATATGACTGTACACCTTATTTTTTTTTAAAGATTTATTTATTTATTTGAAAGTCAAAGTTACACACAGAGAGAAGGAGAGGCAGAGAGAGAGAGAGAGAGAGAGAGAGAGGTCTTCCATTTGCTAGTTCACTCCCCAATTGGCCGCAATGGCCAGAGCTATACCAATCTGAAGCCAGGAGCCAGGACTTCTTCTGGGTCTCCCATGCAGGTACAGGGGCCCAATGACTTGGGCCATCCTCCACTGCTCTCCCAAGCCACAGCAAAGAGCTGGACTGGAAGAGGAGCAGCTGGGATTCAAACCAGTGCCATATGAGATGCCGGCACTGCAGGCGGCAGCTTTACCCACTATGCCACAGCACCAGCCCCTGACTGTACGTCTTATAACCACCGCCTTTCCCTTGTTCCTCCAGCTTTCCCTTTTGCTCTACTTTTCTTCTTCCGATCTGGAGGATGTAGATCAGAATGAGTGAAGGAGAACAGATAAAATAAAACTGCAGGAATAACACAAAGGTATCTTCATTTGATGAGAAACAAACCAGAAAATCCACTAGGACCAGTGGAAAGACACAAACAAGTTTTACACAAATATGTAAATGAATCTTATCTATTTTGATAATGAAAATTAAGTTTTAGGAAATGTCTTGCAATGTCTTCTGTGATCAGTTAGCCACATCATATGTGTTGTATACAAACTGCCAAAGGAAGAAATACCTGAGTACAGCCCAAGAGTGCTTAGAAATTTCTAGAATCTTGCCATCTCTTCCCAGCATAAAGACTTTTTTGAAGATTGCAGCAGTTGATACATACTTATGGGGCTTCAATTATCAGGAACTCTAGAAACTTTGACAATTATTGATTTTGAGGTAATGTTAAAAAAAACTGAAGACAATAAATTAGAAAATAAGCAACACTAAAGAAGTGGGCTTATATATTTAACAAGAGACAGCAGTTGGTATAAATAACTCACAAAATCCCTGCAGGAGAACTTCAAAAATCAAGATTATTTTTCCAATATTTGGAACTTGATCAAAAGAATGTATTTTTAAAGTGAGACCAAAGCATTCAAATAAAGAGATAAGTGGTCAATTATCAACTTGGGAGCTCATATTGCCTTAATATCTGGAATTTTGGAAATATTAATTTGTGTTATAGACCCTACAATTTCATTCCTTTTATAAAATAGTGATAACTCACATAATTTTCCAACCACTTTATTTTCATTAAAAATGAAATGTCAACAACCTAAGATACTTTCCTGGGTAGGTACTTGGCACAGTTAAGAATCTGCTTGGGATGACTGAATCCCACATCAGAGTGCCTGGGTTTGAGTCCTGGCTCTGCTCCCATTCCTGCTTCCTGCTAATGTGCACCCTGGAAGGCAGCAGGTGATGGCTCATGTGTGTGGGTTCCTGTCACTCATATGGAGATCCCAATTGAATTCCTGGCTCCTGGGCATTTGAGGACTAAACTAGTGGATGGAAAGTCTGTCTCTCTGTCTTCCACTGTCTCTCAAATAAAAAAATAATACTTAAAAATAACAGTTCACACCTATTATGCAAAACTGATCCAAACTCAAGGGATATGGAGGGACAGTATATACTTAGGGGAGTGGGGTCCTTGCAAAAGGTGACATTACATTGCCACTCC